AGTGTTTCGAAATGGAAAGGATCTCATTTAAGATAGTACATATTTGTAAAATTTAATTTGGATTTAATGAAAGTTGTTTTCATGTAAAACAATTCAGAGGCAACAGTGTTTGGGAAAACGTGACAATCTTGCTTAGGCAAGACTGGAAGGCCTTGTAGGAAGCCTGGCTGAGGCTGTGGACACGATGGTCGAGAATATGTTGAAAGATACTGTTTGCTGAAATAGTACTTTAAAACAATATCAACTTACATAAGGACTGAAGAAAAGCCAACCTGGATCAAATCTAGGCCAGTGTTTTGTTCCTGGCCTAGCCAACTGGCTGGCTGTGTGAAGCCCATGAAGTACAATTCCACCTTCCTGCTCATGTATCCAGTAACTGTTATATGGAAGCAGTTTCTCTGATATTGAAATTAGAATATAGTTGTTAGGATTTAGCAGTCACCGAGAACTTTATCCTGAATTGCTCTTCTGTTGGACCAGCTCTTGGTGATGAAAACTCTTTTTCCACTTGAGTCAAACCAGGAAAACTTGTACACATTTCCATGGAAGAGCTGTGTGATGTAACAAAAGCCTTGCATTCCCGAATGAACTTTCATTGCCTCAGAAGAGTGGCCCAATTTGTATCACTCACCAGGACACTGGTTGTTCTCTGATGTGGGGTGTGAATTCCAAATTGATTGCAGTTGTTCAGTCGCAGATAAGACGACATGAATTAGGGAAGGCAAGCTCTCCACACTGGAGAATGCTGGAACAGTAGAGCTGGAAGGGGCCAAGCGGGCCCCTGAGTCCAGCTCCCCGCGCATTGCTGAGCTGTTTCTGAACACCTCAATTCTCACTTGTTCTACACGGGATTATGAGGTCTCCTCTCCTAAAGGGAGATGTGGGAGCCAAAGATTTTTGCAGCAGAAGCCCCTGCATTCCAAGCGAGGAGGCGCATGACAAGGATAGGTTTAGCTTTCCGTCCTTGCAACGGAGTGGAAGGAAAGATCCCCCCTCCCCCGAATTTCTTCACAGTTCAGAATACTTAAAGGCAGTACGAGGCCTGGACCAGGACACATTAATCTTGGGCTTGGCCAGAGGCCTATAACTGCTGGCACGAGCAGACATCTGGGGATGCAAAGAAAGAAATTCGTGCGTGCCAAGCCTGCACCTTTCACACGCTACATTAGGTGCAAAATTGGCCATTGTTTGGATCTGAAGGAATAATGGAACTGGTTGAAGTACAAAGTAACTTGACTGTGGGTGACATCTATAGGTCAAGCGATGCCACTTTCATTTTCTCAGGAATAAACGCAGAGATGGTACCAGTTTAGACATCGTAAGACAGATGATCGGTTTTGTTCCCTTTTTGCATCTTTGCCAATGGAGAAGGCTGCTGCAAAAAGATAGGACCAAAAAAGGCAAATATTTAAGAGTTATTGAACAAGATACCTGTTCCTTAGTGAAATTTGACTAAGCAGAGAGCTTTGTCTCAAGTTTGTACTGCCGATTTCAATGTTTTCTCGGAGCATTTCAAATCTGTATTCTCAATTTAATACTTTTTAAAGGGTTGCAGGGAAAGTAGTATGCACAAATCTTGTTTTATTTGGCACTTAGCTTTGGGAGTTGTTTTAGATATTCTTTTAACTTGTGTAAGCAAAAGGTTAATTCTAAAAGTCAGTTTGCATTCTGAAATTTTATTTAAATTTTTAACATGCCGTTCAACACTAAAAGTCTCAGTCTGACTTTGAAATTTTTGTTTCAGCACAGTATCCTGCCCAGGCAGATCCTTAGAAAGGACTGGACAGGTAGATAGGAAAGGCAGCATTCCTTTAGATAACCGGGCCCTAAACCATTTAGAGCTTTATACACTGTCATTGCCATCACCTCAAGACACGGACTCCAGTTGGTAGCCAGTCCAGATGGAACAAGAATGGCAACATATGGTCCTACCTGTTGGTCCTCCTCGATAGCCTGGCCACTCTGTTTGGTACCAGTGGAAGCAACTGGATACTCTTCAATGGTAGCCCCACGTAAAGTGCATTGCAGTGGTCCAGACGGGAAGGTCACTTGTTGCCAGGCTCTGTCCATCCAGATTCCCATGGAAGTGCCACTGATTTGAAGCAAAATGTTCTCTCCGCAGCTGAAGTAACGGTGGGCAAGTGCTGAGTGAGAGGGTTAGTGACTAGGCATGCTGTAGCCCCATCAGGAGTGATGCTCATGGTGGCTTGAGGTCCATCTTGTTTGGGGATGCTGTTGTAAAGGGCTTCAACATCCATGGAAACTAGGAAATTTCTGGAAAATTGTCAATGGACTCTAGTGTCCTCAGGAAATCAGTTCTGTCCCTTATGTAACTTGCAATATTGGTGACATCTGGGCTGAGAATGATTTATTTATTTATTTATTTAGAAAATTTCTATGCCGCCCCATTCGCCGAAGCCTCGGGGTGGCTCACAACATAAATCAATTAAAATAATATAAATTAACAATATAAAATAAGTCACCCTGGCCAAAGAATAGAATAAATACTATTAACAGTTAAAATGATGTTTGAATAAAAAGGTCTTTGCCTGGCACCGAAAAACAAATAACGACGGCGCCAGGCAGACCTCTCTGGGGAGCGCATTCCATGATATCTACCAAATGGTAGATTTGGACCCACTGGTAGATCTCTGAGGCTTTGCAGTAGATCAGCAAGGATTTCGGACTCCCAGTTGTTTAACAGCAGCAGCCACAGAAGGAAGAAATGCTAAAATGAGGAAAGTTTGCTACAACCACAGGTGGGATTTTGGATAATCATAGAATAGTAGAGTAGGAGGGGCCAAGGAGGCCATCAGCTCCAACCCACTGCTCAGTGAAGGACTCCAAGTTCAAGCATCCTCAACAGAAAGCTGTCCAGTTGCATCTTGGATGTCTCCAGTGTGGAGGAGCTGACCACCTCCCAAGTTCATGAGTTCCACTTCTCTAACAGTCTGGAAGTTCTTCCTATTGTTCAGCCAGAACCTGGCTTCGTCCCTTGAGCCCGTTATTCCGTGTCCTGCACTCTGGGAAGATCAAGAAGAGATCCTGGCCTTTCCTCTGTGTGACAGTCTTGCAAGTACTTGAAGAGGGCTATCCTGTCTCCCCTCAGTCTTCTCAACTGGTGGGGATGAACTGTGAGGTCTGCTCTAGCACTAGAAACAAAACATCTGGGTTCAGAATTCTTTATTCCAATTATGTTTTTTGCACCAAGTCCTGAGTCTTGGCGTTCCAGGAAAATACAAAGCACAACCCACACGTTTTAACTCTGCCCAACCTTTCTAAAACTAAAGCCACTCTGCATAAGCCAATGGAAGCCTTGGAAGTTTATTAATCTCCTTTATTCAAAGGGATGTTTAAAACAGACCTAATGAAAGGAAAAAAACCTCCCCACGGATCTACCAAACAGCTTAGTCAGGTTAGTCTGTGGCAGCAAAGTGAACTGGGCCTATGAACCCTTATTTTAAGTGGCCAAAGTTTTTATTTTAACAGTGGCAAGTGAATCACACTTGCGCGCGCCCATACACACCCCAGTCATGCATCTTAAGAGTTAGCATACTGGGGATTTCCCCCTCTTTTCTGGCTTTCTATTGTGGCCACTCGCCATGAGAATGACACTGGTTTCAGGCTGGTTAGCTGGAAACCTGGCATTTTTGCAAATCGAGAAAGGGGAAGATGAAAATGCAGATGTAGAAAGCAACAAAAAAGGTCTTGTGTAGGCCCCTGCCCAAAAAGATATAAATTTGAGGAGAATCCTCAGCCTTCACAGAGAGAAAGCCGATGAAGAAGAGTCGCTGTCGTATTTTCAGTAGACCTGTCTTACTAGTGGCGGCTGTGACGGATGCAACCCAACACAAAACTACTCTTGTCCTCCAACATGAGGAATGGATTTGCTCCTATCATCCGGCGATTTCACAGCGTCAGCCTGAAAAAAAGGTCTGAACTTTATCACCCTTCCACAATTGTACTCAGGGTGGAATACCAATTACAGCAGCACAATGAAACAATTCAAAATGAAAAGTCACATATGCCTTCCTTTCAGGCTTTCTTCATCCAGCCACTTCCACTCCCCCGACTGCCTTCGGGACACTGAACTAAGCACTGTTTCTTGTGATCACACAATCTGCATTTTTACATCCATCCCAATTTTTCCTGTGTCAGCCAACTAAGTATTTCCTTCTACTGAACAACTCCTCACCCCATTATTCCCTTAAGGAATACTCAGATGCAGTTAGCAGAGGTTTATTTTAACTTCCCTCCCTTTTGAAAACTCTTTCAGAGTATTTTCTCCACTAAACTTCCTAGTTATCTCTTCAGTCTTAACCGCAAATTTCTAGCCCTTGGGAGATCCCTTCACGAATTCCATTTTCCTTAGCTTTCCCCACACTCTGCTAAGGACACCACGAGCTCACATTGTCTTCAATTCACAAGCATCTCAGGATGTCCTGCCACCATCTCCAACTCTGCATCCCATCCACATTTATCTTTTGAGTGCTGCCTAGCGCCCTTCCCTCTCTCACCGATAAATACATTTAATCCCCATCCTTTGCTTTCTGTCCTGAGCTGCAGCCTCCCCTTCAACTGCACCCCTCCTGGCTTTTCCCAATATTCATTCCACTGGAGAAGAGAACGAAAAGCTCTAATGAACCATCTCCACCCCTTTGATGATTGGAATGCCCCTCCCCTCAGACACAAATCTCTGGATATCGTTTTACAAATAAAGTAGAAATGTGGCAGTTAACCAAGCAGATTCCTGCAAAAGTTTTGACAGTAATTATATACAGCTGTCTGGCAGCTGGTTGGAGTCCCGCCCTCATCCAGTTCTCTGCTCTCTTAACTTCCTGTCCATATTCTTTGCAAACCTAGGCACAGCGGATGATTCCCTGGCACTTTACTTCCAATGCACTTTTCAAAAACAGCAAGATAATTATGGCTGGATCAGGCCCAAAACTAACTTTAAGCTTGAAGTGACTGTGAAGAGAAATAGTCACATACTTAATTGGAACATTCAGAACAATTTATTGAAGTCAACCTCAAGCAAAGATTTAAATCAGTGGAATGTCATTTTAAAAACCTTTCCAAATTAATTTTCACGGAAGCAAAAACACATCTGAATTCCAAAGTATTTGTAAAATAAAAAAGGCAACATCTCAGTAAATATAATGTACAAAAATTATGTTCCTACCATCACTCACATTCAGTAAGAAGCTAAAATATTACAGGCAATTCTAGATACACTATGACTAGTAAACAATGAGCTATCTATATACAGGTTAACCAAGGTTTATAGATTTCACACTATGCAAGAGAACATAGGTAAACAACAAAACCCTCCAAAATGTTGTTAAGTCTCAAAGTCTACGCAGCAACATCAAGTCATAATACAGTAACGTCCCCATGGAACACCCCCAGGGAAAATTAACACTACTTGTTAGTGTTAAGAGCTTCTATATTTGGGGTTGAGAAACTCCTAAGATATTGATTTTTAAGTGAATATCAATGATTTTGCTATTAAAGACTCTGGTGGTTTTTGTTAAAATAACATTTCACAGAATCTACAAAGTTTGGTACATAGTAACAAGGTCTACAGAAATAACGATTCTACAAAGTCATTGTTACAGTTAAAGAGTACACAGGAATGGAGACAAATTGTTGGTATTGGTGTCCGTTGTGCAATATCACATGTGTGGGTACAAATGAATTTGTCTTTTTTTTCTTTTCAATAGCAAACTCAGAATAAGCACATACTCTTATAAACAATAAAAAGACACAGTCTTGTTACTCGCCAGTCATAATAGCTATTTTACCATCTTGGTTTTCAATGGCAACACAAGTTATTTAAGAAAACAGGTGCAGGGGAAGGATGCTAAGTAGACCAATCTGAATGGGTAAGAAGCAGAACTAAAGGTTTCATCCTGTTAGCTCTCTTCGGAGAGCCAATTCCGCCAGGATGCCCCGTGTGAGGGCTGTGGGGCAAGTGTTTGGGGAAGCATTCAATAGGTTGCTCTAACTTCTTTCCAAAAGCAGAAAGAGAACCCAGTAGAAATCAAGCCATACTAGGTTACTGTACATTTCCCATTAGTACCACTAATGGGAAGCAGTGAACTGGTGAACAGCTTTGGCAAAGCAGCAGGGTTTTTTTTTCTTTTATTTGAAATGAAGTTACATATGGATAAAAAGGACACAATCCACCATGTACCGTGCTTAGGCTTCCTTCCTTCCTTCCTTTCAATGAAGCTTGTGTAGCTTTCTGTGCAAACTCCATGGACAGAAAAGGTAATTGCCCAGCACGGCCGTTTGGTAGAATGTGCTCTTCATTTTCGGCACGGAAAACACAGGTGCACCAAGTGCTTGCTTCATTTCCTCTTACTCTCTCCAAAACCCCGGGAGCAGCAGGACATGGCTGGGTGCTGATTTGCCCATCTCCATCTCGCAAAGCTATGTGCAGTACGTCCAGGAGTGCTTTCGTAAGTGCATTTTTCCCTGAAATGTGTGAAGGGGACCGGGGAAAGGAGGAGGGCTAGTACTGAAAGTAAACATTAGGTGGAAAGTCGTGATGCTGCCGATGCCTCATACAGTAGCTCTCTTTCTTCAGAGCGTGGCGCAGGGAGACACACAGGCACTTTCCGAGTCCTTTCTTTTTGCCTTGCGTCCGTAACGTGCTACAGGAATGGAAAGCAATCTTATATTCCATGTTAAGGTGGGGAAAGAGACTTTTGCTATACGATACAAAATGCATAAATAAAACACAAGCTGTAAAGAAAGAATGGAAACGGCTTCAAGTACATTAAACCCTGAATTCAATGAGGCAGAAGTTCCAATGTTAAAGTGACTAAATTCGTACCAGCGGCAGATATTCCGCCCTTAACGTCTCAGTATATACACAGTCAACTCTGGTTAGAAGGTAATGATATTCTAGTAGTTACATCTTCCCAACACCATCTGTATATGTTAGAGGCAAGAGTCCAAACATAAAGGCCAATAAACACCCAAGCCCCTTTTACTTCGTGATACAATTTCTACAGGGCTGTTTCTCACACTGAATTTTGCGTACACAGATGCACACCTGAGGGCTGATAAAACACAATGTATGAAGTACCTGCATTGTATATTACAAACCTATAGTACAATACAAACACTTGTTTTAAGACACATATCTGATATTGGTACAAGCTGCAGGGGAGTCTCCAGCCACCCGCCGCAGCAGACTCACATCTTCACATAATACATCTGGAAGTCCATCCCTGTCAGGAGATGCAAGGAAAAGCAACACAAGGGTGATCACACAGGTGGTTGTCCACCAGAGAAGAGAGAGCCATGAGCCACCACACTTCTTGAGTCTGGTTCCCTAAAACTCAACACGAGACCGGATAGAAAGATTTAAATGGCTGCTTCTGAGGGCCCCAGCACAGGGGCGGGCATGTTTCCTGGCTGTCTGCCGCTGGAACACATGAGAAAGTGGCAAGTCGGGAAGTATGCGTGGAAACACTGCTGGAGAGGCGATCCGTGTGCCTGCGTGAGCGTTCATTCTGAGGCACTGGGCTGACAGCCAGGAAGCAAACCTGCAGCATCGACCCTGCGGCCTTCATTGTGCCACCTGCCCTTTTTGCAGTCGACAGCGGGCCTTTTCCTGCAGCAGTGCGTGTGTGTTATGAAGACTGCAGTGTGAGAAGCAGACCAAGTCTCTGGTGAGTGTGTGTGCGGGGACAATACGGCCAGAAGGCTTCCTTACACTACGGGCAGCAAGTTTGGGCAGAAAGCCTCCTTCATCTTTGTATAGCTCAGGTAACAAGAACAGAAAGCCGCAGTATTTTAGCTGAAGACATCCTGTTCTTCACTAAGGTGCATGCTCTGTACATAGTCCAGATTGCCACCAGCCTTCAACTAGCTCAGCCTCGCCCCCAGCAAATGTTTCAGTGATTCACTCTGAGACTAGATGACCATGATTAGAAACGAAGTGGGGGACATTACCAGTGCTTGATGTTCTTTCTCCAGGCTTAGCCTTTTCTGTAAAACTGCGGCTTGTCAGTCGCTGCTTTTGTTTAAACCAACTGCTACAAAACTATCCAAGATAACATAAAAACTTAGGTAAAACTTAGAAACATGTGAGTGCTCCTGCTCAGAACTGAAACTTCTTAGCCTAAGGAGGAACCTTTGTGGTGTTCATAATAGAACAAGGTACCTTCCAATAAAAGCTTCCTTTTTCTCTTCATTGCACGTTTTAATGGAAGAAGTTTGAAACAGTCATTTAAGCTGCATGGCGACATGCAGTGGAATGCCCATTAATTCTATGGAACCTAAGTTGCCACTCTATGTATGTGGGGTATTTGCCGAGATGGTGACCCTCCTGAAATCCACTCTATTTATAGAAATCTTACCCACCTTGCTTCCTAAATCGCACTCAGAGCAACAACACAAACCATAATGATGCTGTTGGGTGCCACTCTAGAAAAATGCTGGGGGTTGTTTTCAGCAGCGGAAGCAAGTTTCCCTTGCTGCTTCCTTAAACCATGTGAAAAAGCAAGGGCTGAAAAGTATGCTTGGCAGTCCGAAGCAGCTTAGGAAGGAAGGACTGATGCAGTGCAAAACGCGAAGTCAAAGTGGGGGGTGAGAGCAACCCCCTCTTTGACGTACTAATGTTTATGGGCCAAGACAGTCAGCCTAAGGGCAACACGATAGCAACATTTCAGAACTCCATCATATCCTCAATGACATCTGTTGCCCATCATCATTAAATCCTTTCAGAAGGCTATTTTCCCCCTCAAAATGCACTCTCACAAAATTTCCGCAATGCCTGGCTACTTGGACAGAGGAGTATAAGGAAAAAGCACTGACGTGTGTGGGGGAAGAGGTGCAGGCATGCCTGTGTGCATAAAGAGAGAACGAGTGAGTGAGTGAGTGAGTGAGTGAGTACTTGCAATATTCTGCATCCACCAGCTTTATGGAATGGGCAGAGAAGCTTTATAAGCAAAGTGTAAGGAAAGTACTGGGCTTAGAATTTTAGACTGGGACAAAATTCCTTCCCAGAGTTTCTCCCCCATACCACACTAATAAAAAAAAAAAAAAGGTTGTCAAACACATTCAGAAAACGAACACCTAACTTTTAATATATATAAACCAACTGTAGTGTTTTTTACTTTTCTCCTCTAGCATTGCCCTTTAGTGTAATCAAGTGCTTGGCATCTTCCTTCAGTGCTCTGTACCATTCAATTGGTCCACAAAGATCTTTAGGAATATGCAAAAAACGAGCAAGCAAAAACAAGCCACCATATTCAGGAGGCTGCAAAATGAGGCTGCAAACTGAATGGAAGAGCTAAGGGACATTTTAGGTGCTTTAAAAGAAATGTAGTGTGCTGATTTTTTTTTTTTTTATGGCTGTACAAATGAGGAAAATAGAAGCTGCATTTTCTTGTCCCTTAGATCATAGACCTTTAAAAGCAGAATACAAAGCCTAATCAGAAAACCTAAACAAGTAAATCCTGGCATTACAAGAATATACCTGCCTGCCTGTTTTCTGGTATTGGCACAACGAATCAATGCATTAATTCAGTTAAAAGTGTCTTCAGTACAAAAAAATAACTTTAAAGAGATCCTTGGAGCACCCAGTGGAAGAAAGTGTAAGTCAAGCTGGTTATTTCAGTGCTGTTTTGTTGATTTGTGAAGAGCTACTAATGAAAAACATAATTTCTAAGATAGACACATTTCTTTGTAAGACTGACCCTTCTTATTCAATGAAGAGGTCCCATTTGAGCAAAACAAACTTTAAAGCCAAATCAACTATAAAACTCTACTACAAATACTAAAACCAAATGACATCGTAGTTCTTTTGAATGCTGAGGAAGCTTGGATGTCAAGTGATACAAGGATATTGGGATCATTGGCAATGTGCCATGATACAAGCACCAAATTGATCATCTAAAATGCACACACCTGAAGGCCAAATTCTGCCTTGCAAATTTAAGAGTTATAACGTTATCGGGGCCTTATTAGGGACAAACCCATGGGGCCAGCTTTGTTCTGTACATGATCCATGAAACAATAGTCCGTCAGAACCCAATCAGAGAAGAGACTGGAAACACAGGTGGTGAAGGCAGTAGATCCCTACCTTGATCTTGATGGTATGGCAAGACTCGCAATAGACAAGTAAAGCGCTGTTCCAAATTCTATCTGCTTAATTGCCTTAAAATTCAACAGTGGCAGAAAAGTGACATATGCATAATTAAACTGGGCACTGGGCAAAAACATGAGACATCCCTTGGCTGCCAACAGCCTTTTCACACTAACATTAGTGGACTGTGACAGGCACAACCCACCAGAAGCTTCTGCTGCACAATTCCTTTTGTAAGAAAATAGGGTTCTAAACACCAAAGATAAAGCTCCCAGTGGATGGCACTTTTTGCAGATGAAAGTGTAGTGTAAAACGGAATGCACTTCAAGGATAAGTGGATCACGTCTCGTTTCCTGTGGGAAAACTTCTGCACCACGATCATTGTTCACTCACTGGAAAGTAATGCAAGAGGTACCATCTTTCTGTCTCAAAACTCTTGTCACGGTGAACTTTATGGAATGAAGCTGTCCATCAGCTGCCACAACAGGTTTTGGATCCACCCCCTAACAGATTTATCTGAAAGGCTACTGGTGTGCAGGGCAGCTCCTTCTTGTACTTCTGAAACTAGACAGGGGGGAAAATGACAGATACATACTGAGATAGATACCAGGCTGGTGCTTCTACACACTGACTGTAATAGGACCAGAAATCCTCAAAAGTCCATCAAAAAATTAAATAAATAAATATTTTTGCTATGTTTGGTTTCTACACTCAAAGAACATTTTAAACATGATTTTTTTTTCAATGTCAGAAAGGTTTCCTCTTCTAACAACGACAAAGGGTTGTCAAGACACTTCTTTCCTGTTCTTCGAGAGCCCAAAGGACACGCTCAAGGGAAAAACGGATTGGACCGCACATGCCCCAGGCCGGCTGCCACTCCGTATTGGATGGTCCCTGTCTGAGTTCCACAGAGGCAGTTCTAAAGACAAAGACTGAGGGTCCCATGGCACTTGATCCAAATTTGTAACAATTCACCACTCAGAGGGGCGTGGGCTGCTTTTGTGTTTTTAAGAGAAAGACATGTTTATTCCTTGGATTCTTCCTCGGGATTCTGTTGTTCCAAGCGGCGCTTGATCTTGCACCAGTATTCTAGGGCCACCGGAGCCTTCGGGTTGTGTTCAGAGCAGCACGGACGTCCATCCAAGGCTGAGGCCACAAGTGCTCCTTTCTCGTGATCCTTGCAGTACGCATGAGGGCAGAACTCGCAGAAGGCAGTGGCAGGGCTGCCGCAGACGTCACACTGGTGCCACGGACATTCCCATTTCCCTGCAGAGAGCGAGCAGAGGAATCAGGTCGTAACTGGGAAGCAAATACTCTGCCCTCTGATTGCCTAGACACTTAGGGCCAGCTCATTCGTTATGCCACTGTACCTCAGCCTCACCTGGTTCATTGTGTTGCCCTGTGGGTTGACTGTTAGTTTTCTGATTTTAAATGCTTTTGGCAGCCCCCCTGGAAAAATCCTCTTCTGAGGAGGAGCTACGGCTCTCAGAGGCCGGCAACATCAAGAAGCCAGCCAGGGCAGAACACGGCAGGGGGAGCATGAGCTATGGCTTTTTCCCCACAGCAGGAGCGCAGTTCTCCTTAGTGCCCGATTGGAAGGGACTCCTCAAACTGAGTGGATTCCTCGGGAGCAAGGCCTGGAATGGGCTGCAGCTGAGCCCTGGGTTGGGCTCAGGAAGCTCTGGCAATACAGGATCAGTTAATGACAGATTGTACGTTACCATTTAGGCTGTGATTTTCTTTACCTTGCCTGCTCTTCAGACCTCTCTTTGGGACTTCTGCTTCTCAATTATCTCAACTGAAATGTTTTGTATTTTCTGTTTTTAATTATTTAATTGTGGAGGGTTTTTTTAAAGATACAGATGTGGTTTGTGCATAATGACAACTGGTGGTCCAATCAGCCCATGATTTGTTGCTCTGTCCAGAGTTAATGCATGCTCTGCTTGCCAGACGACTGAGCAAACCAAATTTTCTCCTACACTGTCCCACATGCCTTTGTACTGTGGTAGTACGAGCATGCAGATTAGTTGGATTTTTTAACCACTCTTTCATGCTACTTCATACTGTCCTACATGCAATGACAATATCCCAGTTTCCCACCCCGACAACAAACCATGGGTTCTTTTCCTGGATTCTTTGTAGTTAACAAGCCGTAGTTAGCCCATAGTTCTGACTTCACATACATGACCAAGCCATGAGCCAACACATAGTTAATTAAACCACAGGTTGTCATGAAATGTGAACCAGCTCACAGTGAAAAGCCTATATACTGATTAAATACACAAAACCAACCCAAATGGGCCTGTCGTCATGAAGAGAAAGGAAGAAAGGGCTGGTAAGGAAAAGTGGTGCTGAGCAATGTTACTACAACCTGCCCCCTTTGCAAGCATTTGCTCGTGTTTCCCCCCGAAATGTCCACGAGCAAGGGAGAAGAGTGGCTAGGATGCCAAAGTCTGGAGGAACAAATCTGCCACAGCACCATTCGCTATATAAAAAAAGAGAAAGGGCCATTCATAAAGCACCACTCAAAGTTCCCCTGGTAACAGGCATCCTACATGAATATTTGAATCACTGTGTGAGTGTCAAGGCATTTTGGCCGGAACGTGCCATCCAGTGGGAAGAACTTGGGAGAAGCGGCAGGGAATAAAAGCTCACCGTGAGAGACTAATGCGCTCAGTGAACCTCGAAAACTGTGCATCTGATGGGGCAGGAGGTAAAACCTGAGAAAGGTGTGAGGAGGAATGGAGCTCCCTGTGAGAAGGCTTGGCGGCTGGAACTCTGGGCCGGACTGCACACTGCACTGTTTTGCATTCCTGCTTTAGAAGTATGAGAGTGCTTCCTAGGCGATTTCTCAGAACCAGAACATGCAGAAAGCCAAAATGAAAGAACCAGGCATGCCGTGGCCCACAAGCCCTATCCACCGAGCCCCACTCCAAGAGCATCCTGTGAACAAGTGCGCTCAGGCACCTACCAAAGGGAGGCTGTGTCAAGTTAAGGCAGAGGAGGTGGTAAGCTTTGGGACAGTCCTTTTTGTCACACATGACCAATTCACCCCCGTCTCCACACTGGAAACAGTTATCCTCGTGCATCTGCTTCTGCTCTGTTTTGATCTTTCGTTTCTTCTGCTTCAACTTGGCGTTCTTAGCTTTCTCTTCATTTGCTGTTGCACATGCCGTCTGGTGTATGGGAAGAAAAGTCATGGCAGTTCAAGATCGGAACACTGATACTGTAAAAATAAGAGCCAACATGTCTCCCCTCACCCCCTGCACCTGCCATTTCTAAAGGCTTAAAAAGACATGGGCACTCGGTAACCAGAAAGTACATTACCCACACTGGTTTGGGGATGCACCGAACATTTGGCTCCATCCCTGCATGACTGTATGGGAAGGTCATAGGAAAAAATATATAAGGAATGGCCTTGTTTATCTTCTCCAAGAAACCTCACTACATATGTGTGGGGAGGTTAGAGGGGATCAGAGTATCGTTAAAACCGTTTGCAGATTTTGTCCAGGAGGTCTTTCCCCCTTGCACAACTAACCTTTGGCCGCACTCCCAGGAATCCGCTGCAGTTATCTGCTCCACAGTGGCATTCTGTCCTGCCATTCCCCAGGCAATCCAGGTTGTAATTAAACGTCAACTCCATCCCTGAAAGTTCAAGAAGAGTAGACATGCTAGACATTTGGAAGCAATGCCTGCACGCTTACTTTGGTACTTCAGAAAATGATAATGCCCGTTTAGGCCAAATCTTAAGACAGGGAGGTCCAGCAGCCAAGTTATTTATTAATCCAGGTGGCGACCTTCACTGCCCCACTCTGCAGATGCTCTCAATTGATCCTACGTGTTTCAAGGACGAGTCACTACTTGCGGAGTGGCAGATATGCATCGGGACCCTCGTGTGCCCCGCAAGGTGTCCTGCACCACGCAATCTCCATACTTTTCTTATTTTTTTAAAACTGTGCCCTCATTGGAAATTATGGAGAAACTGAACTTGGATCAAGGCCCATTTGGTGTGCATGTGACTCACAGTGAAACTGGATTTTGGCATGGCAAATACTTTGCTGGGCGAAGTTTCCCCATATGGTGTACTTCCAGTGCACTCCTCTCCCCTGGAGCGGGTGAAAAATGAAGAGGATGCTGCTTCCAGAACCCTGCTGGCTTGTGCTGGCCAGAGCAGAAGTCCAGGAGGATTTTTTCCCCATTTTTCCCTGGTAAAGCAGGATTATTTTTTTTGTCAGAGGAGCTGTATAGGGGAATGGAGTGATTCTAGATTCAGTGGAACCAAAATCAGCTCTGTCCCAACATCCCTCCAGTGACAAGGAAACCTACTTTTCTGGCTCCAGCAGAGCATCCCACTCTTATTGGGTGAAAGGCAGAAACCTAAACTTCTCCAGGAATCATCACCAGGGGCAGGACTACCCTGTTTCCATATGAATACAACAATTCTGAAATAAGGAGGCAGCATTCCTTGTTGTTAGACCATGCACGTGTGTGTTAGAGTTGCACAGAAGAAGCAGTCGTTATTTTCAATGAGGGAACAATTGGGTTCTCACAAAGGGAAAACCCACATTGAAGGACTGAGTATGGCTTGAATGTGCTTTGCTTTTCATATGTGGCGTACTGGTGTCATCTGGATACCCCCATAAAGAAAACCTGTGGCTTACTGTTCACCATGGTTGTTCAGACCACACAAGAACCCACGTTTCAGGAACAACTTGCAACTGAATGACAACCTCAGTTCACCCCAGAACCAGACCTTGAGCGCTGTCAAGTACAGGGTCTGTGTGGCTGGAAGCCAGTCACCGGGGCTGTTTGCATGGCAGGACAACCCACCCTTGTCACAAGCCATGATGGACCGGCTGCATTACAAAGTACACATGACGAGCCTGATCAACCCCCTTAAAAAACCGTTTTGAAGGGACAGGTTGTGACTGCTAGCCTTCAGGGCAAGAAGAGAGGACAGCTTCTGCCTGCTAAATGGGAATTCTAGGGGTGGCTGGCAATGGCAATGCCCTGATAGCCATTTGGAAAAAGCAGAAAGGCTTTTTCGTTGCTCTTGCCAAAAGGCTTGCTGGCTACTGGGTCCCACCCATGGTGTGTTCAGAAAACATGACAACCCACCACAGATGGCAAGAAAGCCACCCTTGGAAAAGGGGACCCTGCTCACATGACCAAACAACCCACCTACAATAACAAGCCATGATGGATTGTTGTGTCATCTAAACACGCTTGCTGTCTTTTCCGATGCTTGCTATCCATAGTTTAGGTAAGTTTGCATGTTCAGAATAATTATTGACAAGCATTGTAATAAATTAACTCAACCAATTAAACAATACTAGCCTAATCTATAGTTTACCTCAAAGACAGAGAGACAATGCAGTACTGATAGTATTCAACCACATATGAAATGTTAGTGTTACAGGCAAATGATGCTAATCCTTCAGAGGAAAAAGACAGCAAGGAAAGCTCGCAAGAGAGCCTGCCTTTCAAGGAACAGGGAAAACAGAGTGGTGCTTTTACCTGCAGGAATATCACACAGAGCAAAGAGTCCGACTCGGACATCCCCATTCACTGTCCACTTTTGGGTTTCACAGTTGGGGTTGCAGCTGTGATTCATAAAGCGAGAGTAATTCCCCTTTGGGCCAGCATCTATTATACGGTCCTTCAGTAAGTGAGAAGAATATAAAGTCAGTAATGCACTAAATATTATTAAATAATATCAATATTGTCTTAAATTAATACACAAAAGAACAAAACTCTGAATTTGCAGGGAGATAACTGCATTGATCTGGTACAACAAACACCAAGGGAGTTGTGCCACGATAACTCAGGAAAATTTTTAGGTGCTACTAAATTCTTTAAGTAGGTCGGGGGGAGGGAGACACTGTGATAATCCAGACACCCAAGACAAGGGTGAGACAGGCTGGCCCCAACCAATGGCGAGGACGAAGCATGAAAAAGTCCTGCTTTTTCAAACTGTTCCTACTCCACAGTAGCTGGGACCAAGGGGCACGATATCACATCACCGATTCCTTCTCACATCAGCTAGAACTTTTCAGGGTTTCCTGCTTGTTGTATTTCAGGCAGACAAGCAGTGGCTTGGAATGAAGGGCCTCAGGGCTAATGAAGTCAGCATGGATATTTTTATGGGCCTGGCTCAAAAGTGCCAAAGAGCTGATCTCACCAGGTGCTATGCAGGAACAATATGGAGCAGCCCAGTGGCAGGAGCTCACTTCAGGCCCATCACAATAGAGCTACTGAGACCCAGCAGGTGTGATTAGCTACTGTTCTTGGCCTGGATTTCACTTACTGGAATTTTTTTGGCTTTTAAAACTATGGCAGACTTTAAACTGGGATTGTACTGTACACTGCACAAGCCAGTTCCATATATATGTTCTAGAAAGTGTGCTCCTTTTTACCTTTGTAACAGTCAACATATAAAAATTGGTCACACTGTTCTCATGGGCACGCTTGATTCGCAATCTGCACTCTTCCTCGTCAATTAGTTCACCAACGTATTCATTGACAAATTCACCCTGAAAGAAAGCAGAAGAAAAACACACAGAATGAATGTCAAAACTTAAACACTTACAGAAGACAGCCAGCTTGGTAAAAATAGGAAGAGTTGTAGCCTTGAATCTGTGAGGCTTGGGGCCAACTCATACCTCTACGAGGCCTCCCATAAGCTAATCTCAGTATGTCACCTGTGGAAAGGTAACTGTGTGCTCCCAGAATAGCTGTGAAGGCACAAGAACTATAATTTATTTAAAATTAAATGAATGTGTAAGCAGCTTTGTCATGGCCAAGGCAGTCTTCCAAGCAGCTCAAGGCATATGCCTGCATTGGAAAAGAAAGAGAGATCCACTTCCTTTCAAACAAACATTGATGGTCCCTCCCGACTTCTGATTGTAACAGAATCTGGCCATAACCTAAAGGAGAATTATATGTGTTTAAGCCCACTAATTTTGGAGAGAAGTAGAGTATGGCCTCTGCATTTGTTCTTGCTGCTGCCACTTTGTTAGGACAAGCTTCCACTGAAGAAGAGCAAACATGCTATATGGAAAAGCTAAAAACAACCTGACAGGGAGACTGGATTGAGATGCAGCAAGCCGCCCACATTCACTAGAACATCCTAGCCAAGTGGACATTTGAACAGAGATCTGCCCAGTTCAAGCCCAACACTCTCTTTGTTATACCACGCTGGTTCTCCTCTTTCCTGTTTTTTAAGGCAATCCCAGGTAATGCACAATATTTAAGATTTATTTAGTGTAGGGTTTTTAACTGCATCCCTAAAAATAAATTTGGATGGTGTTCAAAGTCCAATAAAACCATTAGTTTTCCAGTATTTGTTTAGTTGGAAAATCCATGTCTAAAGATCACAAGTGATGTGGGATAAAGCAGAGTGTTGCCAACCCTTACTTTTGTCATACAGAAATGTGTATACATGTCGCTTGCATCCCCAAAGAGCTGAGTAGTCCATCTGAACTAACTGGGGCCAAAGCAATTGTCTATTCATGTAGTCTTCAAGGCAAAGTAAGACAGCCATCTGGTTCAGGCAACAGAAGCATTTATTCCAAAAGCTACCTTTTTAATGTTCCGTTTTGTCCTAAGACCCCAGCCGCGCCGGTCAGTTTTTATAATTTCTGCTTCTGGATAGAGTCTTTTGGTAAAGCACTGGTTCTGACAGCGTTCTCCTGCAGGGCAAACTTGCGGGTGGCATTCATACTGCAGCATTCGGTTTAAACACTCCGACTCCAGTCCACAAGGGTTCTCGTCCGTTGGCTTGCAGTTGCACCGAGGGATCTCAGACAAGTCTGCCACTTGAATCTGAACCTTTCCGACTACTTTGTTGGACTGTGGAATGGAGCAGAGAGAGATAAAACTTGCATTTCCAAGTAGATGCACAAACACAGTGCTGATTCACCTATTGATGATTCATGGCCACCACTTACACCCTCATCCCTTGATGAATGGCACCTGAAGAACGTGCCATTGAAAAATACAGTAGGTGGGAGGATAGAAGGCCTATGATTTTTATAGAATAACTTTTGCAGACAGACTGTAGTTCCAGGCAGACAAGAAAATTCCTTTGCATGTACAAATTATCAGTTGATGCTGTTGTCATCATCATCCTCAGATAAACGTACATGAACAAACAGAACCAGTGATTTTAGAATGAGGACTGTGCCTTCACCCAGTGGACACACATTTCCTCCTCAGGTCCTTCCCATGAACAGGCTCTTACCTGTCTAGCTTTAGCCGGGGAAATCCGAGACCAGAAATGAAGGAACAGTGTTCCCCGCTAATGCCGGTCTCCTGTGTCGGCACAGGATCCTCGGAGCGCCCCACTGCAGTGCAGCCGTTGCAGTCTGCACGTGGCCTGGGATGCTCTGACATTATGGGATGTGCGTAGGTGTGTGTGAATGAAATGCTTCTCTGTGGACGAGAGAATGGAGGTGGCCCTGCCCTCTTCCTGTTACCAACACCCATTAGTCAACATCCTTCATTCAGGCCAAAAGTGGTTCTTGATGGAAAATGAGGAAACGCAATGCCTTCCAATTATAAAGCACAGCAGGATGAACACCCCCTGCCACCATGTTTTAAAGTTAAATACATTCTCATTTCTCCCCCGTTACAGCCCACACCAGAATTCCTGTTGTTCAAAGATGCACTGGAGTACAGAGATTTTTGGAGCTATGATGTGAAGGTGGATTAGCAGCCAGTTTACGTGACCTTTATTATACGGCAGCTCGGTCATGTGAGCAAATTCACCAGGATAAATCATTTTCATCCCGCTACTGTAATACTAGCCTTCCTTTCTCAGGTATCACCATTCATCACTGCTGTTCCCAGAGACTGTGGGAACCTGCCTTAAAATTAACTAAGAATGCAAAATGGATTTTCTTCATTCTTTTGTGAAAAGGCTTGCAATAACAACTGCTTAACTCATCCAACACACACACACACACACACACACACACACACGCAACTCACTTTAATGTGTTTATAGGGAGGTGGTTTTCTTGAATTCCTCTCAATCTCAAGTGCTTCTTTGCTTTCTCTTTGTGCTTTCAGTTCCTGGAAGCGCTTTGCGGCTTCTTCAAGTGCTGTGTGAGGGAGTCCAAAAGAGGGAAAGGAGATAGTGTTGGCAGCTCACATGAGTGGAAAACATCACCGCTAACTATTGTTTAGTCATCTATAAAGAAGAGGCTTTAAACAATCACATACTAATATCAATTAAAGAAACCTTACAGCGCAATCCAATACAGGACTAACTTAGAAGTTATTCCCATTCAGTTCAATGGGGCATATCCCCTCATAACTGCATGAACGACTGCAGACTTAGAGAGTAATCAAGCTGGGGTGCTTCTAAAATTGGAGGGCTGTGGGCATCTTATACAGGGCATGGAATACAGCAGAGGTGATCTCCTCTTCAGTCCTCTCTGTGCATGTCAGCTTAGACAGCTGATTTTGCAATAGGAAAAAAGCGTGATATGAATGGAAGGCAATAATGACAATACCAGCAGCATCCTTTGAAGAGTGAGAAAGTCCATCGGGATACGCTGCATCCTCCCCCTGCCCTGCCCCCGGAATACCCCCTTTGCCCCTTCCCCAAGGTTGCTCTTATGACTTTGGAGAAGCAGCCAGAGCAGTTCCTTCCACACCAGCTATGCTGGATTTGGGGAGAGGGGAGGTAGACAGAATCTGAGAATAGATCCACAGTTCTGAGGCGTGAAACTAGGAATCCAGAGAATTCTAAGCCCCTCTAGATACTGCCTAGGGCTACAGGATCGTTTTGCTCATTGTTTAATCTTATGAGATAGAATATCCATTATTTCACTAACAGATTCATTAATACATTTAATGCTATATAAAACATGTGTAAAAACCATTGTAAAGGTGAAAATATGCCCCAATTTTTCCCCATTTAAAAACACTTATTTGTGTATATTCAAACAAGTCTTTAAAAATGCTGTGCAAACATCAGGAGCACCTTTTTAATCAAAAAGGAACTAATCTAACCAATTCAGTCTGGAAGTGCTAATTGTAACATTTTATCATTTTATCAAGCAGGTTACTAGACTGATGTTTTCCAGATAGAATGGAAAACCATACCAGAAATGGTATGGTTCACAGTTAGCCAAAAAGGAGAAAAACGCAATTTAACTGGAACTCAGTGGCATTAAATGGAGCTGACACAGGACACAAAACATTGTTTCCATGCAGTTATGTGGTAATGGAGACATTAAACATGTGGAGCTCTTGTCATGAACCCACTAGAAATTGTGTTTAATTTTACCTTTCTTGAAGGTCTTGTTAATATTAGTTTGCCCCTCAGCAAAGCTTTTGTCTCCTTCAACATAAGGGAATACTCTGCCCTGATGTACCCAGTAGTAGTCATGTGAACCAAAGAAAAATACTGGGAAGTCCCCGATATCATGTTTGAGGCCCTGTATGTTGAGAGGAACAGACCTGGGATTGCAGATCTCAGCTGGCCACCACCTAGAAAGAATGGACAGGGATGGGTAGGAAATTTAAAACAGGCTTGAGAAATGAAGGGAACTTGTTCCGCTTTCAACTCTTAGACGTAGCTTCATTCTAGGACATTTCTGTGCCTCCACTATATTCCCTATAAAGTAAGCTTTTCACTCAGGACCGAACCAAGATGCTCAGGTGGTGCACAAGCTCCATTAATTGCAACGGGCTTGTGCACCATCTTTGCTCAAATGGTGCAACCAGAAGAAATTATAATCAGTATAAACATAGCCAGTGTGGTGAAGTGGCTGGAGGGCTGGAAGAGGAGCTGGGAGACCCAGAGGCGGATCCCTGTTCAGCCATGGAGCTCAGAGGGTGACTGAGCCATCTCTCAGCCGAACAATTTTTACAGGCTGATTAGGTCAGCTAAAATAAAAGAGGAGGAGGCACCTCTTGTTCTTTTCCATTTCTGTCTGGGGTGGCTCTGCAGATCCTGAACTGCAATCTGAGATCAATTATGCATTGCGTATAGGGCAAGCTGCAACTTAACCCTGCATCTGAATGAGGAGCTCCTCCATTCGATCCCATTCTGTTCAGGATAGCGCAGCCGTTCTCTTGAGGATGCAGACTTGCAGGCTGGTGGTGCTTCTTGGTTATGCTTTCCTTCTGGTTTTCAGACAGCAGTTCTGGCCAGGAATGCCATGGCCCATCTCTGGGAGAAGACATGCCTGGCCAGCTCAGTTGCCAGAACAGTAGAGTTGGAAGGGGCCATGAAGGCCATCAAGTCTAACCTGCTGCTGTTGCAGGACACCAAGGTACACCATCCCACTGATGTGGCTGTCCAGTTTCTTTTGAATGCCTCCAGTGTGGGAGAGCCCAGCACCTCTCCAGGCAGCTGGTCCCACTGTCATGTTGCTCTGTCAGTGAGGAAGCTTTTCCTGATGGATGCTCTCACTCCACTTCATCCAGACTATTTCAATTTGCTTGGGGAAGGGGATGGGGCTTTGGAAGAGTTTTCAGCCGTTTGGCAGAATCATGATGGAGCAGCCAGGGCTGATGGAAGCAAAGCATGTGACGCCCCTCCTGAATCCAAGCCAAGACTTTGTGGTCAGAAGGATCTTCTTGGCAGAGCGCCACTTAAAAGTGCTCTCCCTGGCAAAAGAGGCAACTTTCTCCACTGCTTCCCCATCCCCAGGGAGCCCTCTCAACCGTGAGGATGTTCCGTCTGTCTGTCTGTCTGTCCTCAGATAATCAAATGTAATTTTTTTGTAGGCTTTAACTTGCCTGTAATTTCCAAGCTTGACCCAAACAATCTGCTTGTATCGTAGCTTCTTGCCAGCTTTACAGTCATTGCAGTTCCAGGAGCCGTTTGGCATCTCTATGTTCAGACATTCCGGGTGGAAGGATGCGGGACATGATTCACAGCACAACAGCTTCCCACCTTTAAACAATCAACATTGCTCACTTTATAGTTAAAGGCAGCAGATAGTAAACATGGGGTTTTTAAAAAAATCTCTCCTCTTAAAATGTGGTATGCTCAAGATTACCATATCATACAATACAAATGGCAAAATGAAAGGATCTAGTCAAAGTTACAATGCTGGATTAAAAGCACTTGTTCTGTTTGTACAAGACTAATCAAACTAAACTCCCAAGTCAAGTAATTAAGCTAATGGATTTCAATTTTTTGCGTTACACAGTCAAGTTGGTAACTTGAAACTACTTTCCAAAAAAGAGGCATTGGGATATAAAAACTGTGCGGGCATTTTCTTTTCCCCAGATAGTCTTGACAGATGCTGGTATTTCAGATGACTGAATGCCATGAAATCTATTTTAAACCTGCATTGCAATGACCGGATCCCTTAGCAATCAGTTAGTGTGTAAAAGCAGCCTATAGGTTGATCAATCCTTTTCTGCTACAAAAATAACGCAACAGAAAAAGAAACTCCAGAATTTTTTACATTCCAAATGTTTGCCAGCTTTTTAAAATGAAGGTTTCCTTCCCTACACAGGTTGAGCAGATGTAACGTTTCCTGACCTCTTAAATTCAGAGCCGGCTAGGGTCATTGCAGCATTCCCTATGCACAGGGAATAGGGAACGACCCCCACTTCCTTTTCTGGAGCTAACCAGTCCGCAACACTGCACCTGTGCTAGCGCAGTGCTTATTTGGGCGAGCGTCAAGCGGTGTGTGCAACCGGACTTAAGAGATCAGGAATATTACATCTGCACCTTTTGCACTGAGACAGGAATTTCGCAGTTGCTAAATATTTATACAAAAGACTAAGAATATTTGGGAGTGAGGGCTGTTGGATTACTGACTTTGAAATATGTTTATTGTGGAGAACATGCAGCTTAGCTGTGCTAGAGATGCAACATTAGAGCATTTAATTCCTGCAGGGAAAATCCCCTCAAAATTTAGAAAACAGCATGTTAAACAACCACTGCTCTTTTTTTAAGTATCAAAATTTTTGATTATTAGTTTCCAGAATGCTCTCAGAAAATCTTGTCCACCTATAGACTTTTAATACTGTAATGGCACTGATTGATACAAAGTTCAAAAATTTAAAAACACCACCAAAATCATTACTATATTTCCTCTGCTGTGAAATGCAACAAAGCCTAAAAGTTTGAATATCCCTTCATTTAAGAATCCCGCAATTAATTCTTAATGTGTAAACATCATTTCAGAGGAAATACAGCCCCAGTCATTGATACAATGTCCAAACATGATAGAATGCCAAAAGATGAGAAAACCAAAGCATAAAACAAAACAAAACCAACCAACCAACCAAATAAACAAACAAAAACAAAAAACAACACAAAACTTTCAACGCTAAGCAAGGAAAGTTGGCTCTTACAATGCATTAGTGAGTTTTGCTGAAGCTAAGCAGAAAAGAGGGCTCAAAATAATTCTAATTATTTCCAATCTCTAAGTGATGGAGACCCACCAAAATACAACAACATGGTAAACCTTCTACTTTATGTAGACTAGCAAGGAGACCAGTTCTACACACACGCTGAGAGTTCACACGCTCAGATGGTATGGCTGCCTTCCAAATGCAACAGACGCAAAGCCTAGTTTGGACAAGGCTCTGGATGTATGCAGCCTACCCACAGCTAGGGGAGCTGGCCCACCACAAGTACTCACAGCGAACATCAGAAATGCACAGCATCTATAGGTGTCAAAAGGAAGTGAAGACAGGTGCACCCTGCAGTGGGATGGATAAGGTTGCCACTGTTCATAGGCTCTACACACAGAGAACTGGTCCAAAGAGTTCCATATCATTCATCTTTTCCTTGTGATCATTTGAGTCGGAAGACTGTGGCTGATTCCAAAATATTAGTTTATGGTCTTGGCTGAGCTCAAACATTAGGCAGAGGACAACTGGTAACTGGCAGAGATTAAAATAAAAAAATTGCAAGAGCACCAATTGATCCCATAAACACATACCCCATATGTGGCAACCCAAAGAGGTTTTATTCAATGGTGCCAGTGACTAGATTCAGGTCTTTTGGATACTCCTGTAAGAAGCATAGTGTTGGAACAAAACCCATCATGTGGAATATGCCTAAAGCAGCCTTCCCCAACTCCGCCTCCCAGGCACGCTTGGAGTGCAACACCCTGAATGCCCAGTCCATGGCCCTGCTGAATGGGAATTCTCGGCGTCACAGTCCAAATGCCTCTGAAGATTGGGGAAGGCTGGCCTAGAGTGTTATTCTGCATTCATGAAAATGGATGTAGGGCTCCAAGCAGTTGTGAGAAAACACTTGGGAATCTAACAATTCGCCAGCCAAAGCCATATGCCTGCCTGAGGAAGTACTAGCGTAGCATTCAAGCACTGAAAGGTCATCTTCTTCCTAGCAGAGGCTGTATAACCTACATATTGCAAGAGCTAAGACTTGTGGTCTTTCTACCGAGAAAAGGAGCTGAAATATGGGAAAGCCACCTACAGGCAGCAGCTACCATGAACTGGAGTGCCAGGGCTCAGGTAAAATACGAGTCAACACCTTGAAACAGGCCTCTGTGGTCAAGCAAACTGGAGTACTGCACATAGTTCCCCATCTGAAGTCGATGGTTCCTGTGTTGAGAACCACCAGGCAAGCGCTTTCTGGCTGCTCAGAGGAACTGTGGGGGGTCTGAACCACCCCTTAATGGACAGTCAGCTCCCTTGGTGTGGCTAATAATGGGTATTCTCCACTTGGGAGCCCAAGACAGAAGAGATTCTGTAGAGCTGTAGCTCAGCTTCATAGCTTAGAGAATCTATCAGATTGGCTGATAAAAGTGCGACTCAGTTCTTGAGTGGAATTAGGCAATTATTTTAAGCCCCTTTGCAATATTTTTGCCAACATGAACACACACTCACAATAAGCAATGAGTGAAGTTTACCAAGCGCGACAAGGAAGTGCTCGATAAGCATACAGAGCTTGTTTTAATTTATTTTATTTCTTTAAAGCAAGCAAACCAAAAAGAAAGGAAAAGCAGGAAAAGTGAAAGAAAATTAAAAAAAGAGAGAGAGAAAGAAGCTATTTTGGTTACCTTTCTCACATTTCTTTTTGGAAGCTGACGAAGAAGGAGGAATCATAGGTAATTTCATCAACTCAGCACGATTTGATTCATTCAGTAGGTAGTGGGACTTATTGGCATATGAACTGAACAGGGGGTCTGAATGATCTCGCACTATCAGCCCTATACGAAACAAACAGAAAGAAATGAGTTGCAATGAAACTACCCATGATTCCATAAGGAGAAAAATAAAATAAAACCAAATTAAACACCTATGACGCATCTTCTACTTATGTTTTAAGTATGAAAAGAAAAGTGGTGTGATGAAGACAAAGAAAAAGTGAGAGGAAAAAAGTTTCTATGTCTACTGAGAGGTTGTTATGGTGAGCAAGATGGTATCCATGCCTAAGTATAGAAGAGTAAAATAAGACCTAGGTCCAATTCTATTTCACCTGCACTCTATTTTAAAATCTGCACACTTGAGGACAAACAGCTGTGAAATTCTCCCTACAATCTTCTTCCATGATAAAGGAAAGACAGCTAACCATTAAAGAGGCTAGCAATAGAGAATAAGGACTTAAAATACATGGACTCTTGCATGAACTATGCAAATTATAGCCATTACCTAGGCAGGGGCTGAGAGGGCACTGCGATATCAACCACTTAGTTATATTTTCTGTTGTGCAGCCCTGGACTGATAGGTGCTCCTAAGTTACTTACAAGGGAGGAGTTTCAGTCTAGTAAGACCGCACTCTTCCTCACAGGGTAAAAGCAACATTTGACTGAGGCTGTGTCTATTTGAGCATATAGAATGTTTAAAGGTTTAGTTCTATTACCTATCCTGAGCCTCTGAATGTAGATATTTAAAATTTATAAATGAAAAGGTGCATTTTACCTTTCCTCCCTAGTTTATTAGTGCAAAGAATGATCTATGGGGGGGGAGGCTTTGCAGGTCAGGGGATTTCATGAACAAATAAGTACAACAAATACTTATTAGGATCAGATATTATTTTTGCCCCAGCCAGGCCTTCTGCGACTCAAGTGTCCAATAGATGTTTTAGACCACAACTCCCATTAGTCTCAGAAATCACAAAATGCTAGGAGCTGTGGGCCAAAACATATGAAGGATATTAGGTTGTTAAAGGCCACCCAAGCCTTCCACCAAGCTGAGAATTCTCTTCAGTGCATAACAATGGCATACTAGTTCAATTATTTTATTTTATTTATTTCTATACTGCTCATTAGTCCAGATATTCTCTGAGCAATTTACACAATATTATTTCTAGTCCCCAGTGATTGGGGGAAGATGTCTCCCCGCAAAACAAGAGAGAGATATAAAGTAATGATGACTTTCCCAGAATGGTCCTTAAACAATGGCAGCCAGCCAAACTACAGCTCATCTTTTATTTTATCCTCTCTTATTTATGCTCTGAAGCCAAAGGGCTGCAAGTTTCTCACAACTAACCACTTCTACCGTACTTGATTTTGCTTTCTTGTTTCCTTTGCTTTTTCCTGCTTCCAGTCATCAGAGCAGCAAGCGCACATATGATGGGAAGCCCGCATGCATGGCATAAAATCAAGGTGCCTTACAGCACTATCCATTTTAGAAAAGGAAGATTCTGGCCCTCCTGGTATGATGTTTGTGATCCTTCTCACTGCAGCACTGAAGGAACCTGGGTGGAGTTTGCACTGATCTGACAGTAAGGCTCTTAGACTTTTCACTCTGTTCCTTCAGCAAAGTGGATGCTTCTCATTTCAATAATGATATTTCCCCCTGACAACTCTCAGAATGCTAACCTTCTATGGCACTAAGGCACAATGCAGTCTAAACATTTCCTTGACAAAAACTTGCATTCTATATGTACTATTCTATATTTTATATTCTTCTATATTGCATTCTATATGGTAAGTATGAGCTGTACTGTTCTCAGGAACCCCAGCATCAAGGTTTTAGGGACTAATGCTGCTAATTACTAACAACTAATTACCAACTAGGACGCAGTTAGATTACCCAGAGAAGGACCAATAAAAATGTAGTTCATTGCAAAACTGTCCAAAGTCCTATCTCCCTGTTACTTGCTCATATATACAATATAAACCATACAATGAAATCAATGCAGAAAGGTGGTTATAAACTTAATTGTATGGTTTTATGTCAGTAGGTTATAGTTGGGGGATGTATAAATGGAGGGCGGGGGCTTGGCAGGGAAGGAATCACTAGTACATGCAGATTGGACGGTCAGATATTCTTTTACTGGGTTCCATAGAAAGTACTAGGCATGTCCACTGGATTGATGTTGTAATACTTTACTGTGAAAGCTAGGAATCATCGCAACTCTTTTATGAGCATGAAGAATGTAAATTTTGTCCTCAAAGTACCACAGTCACACATAATAGAACAAACTGAGTATGAGCTAAGCAAGCCTCCCTTTCGCTTACGACTGGGTAGGGCTCACTGCACACTCGAAAGGCTAGGAAGCTTCATAGTATATTTTCCTTCCCACTAACTCGCCTTCCAAACACTTCCAAGTTGGTGGTCTTGGAAGTAATCCATCTATCGAGCAGTACTAGCAGAGAACCAGTATTTCTTTGACATAACAGCTGAAGTACGCTAAATATTTTAATGTCAAGAAAAAAAAGAATGAGGAGAACCTGAAATGTGTCAAGTTTACAATGCAAGTCCACAAAGAGGCATCGGTAACTGCCCCTCCACCTACCCTAGCAAGAAAGAACTTATTCCATTGCAGACTCACCAAAGTCTCAACCTAAACACCTTTCAGAAGGACTGTAGGACTTGCTTAGGCTAGCCACTGGGGGTCAGCATTGTCAGAAAAGGGAGATGAGATTTTCAATAAACTTCATGGCATTTTGTTTCATTTGGTGAGAGAATGGGGAGGTTTGCTTCTATTACATATTCTGAGCCATTGACTGTACTTATTTAAAATTGTTAAGGAATTGTGTGTTTTTCTTTTAACAGAGAATCCTCAAGAAACATGTTTACCTGTAACAATTAGATCAGTGCGGCCAACCTACAAGACAGCGTATTTCCTCTGCAGCGTATTTACCAAACATGGTAAGAAACATTGTTTTATAGATCTTCTGTTTCCTATACAACTGTTGGGAAAGGTCTCCCCACCCCTATTTTTATTTGCTTCACATGTCTTCCATTTATTTTAAACAGATGATTAATGGCACATTTAACGAGCAGGCAGAACTCTTTGTAAAGCAGTGGGTACCACTGCAATCTGAAGAATACTGCTCAACACCCATGTCAGCCACTTAAAGTGGGAGGGGAACTTCGAAAGTACAAAAGGGAAAGAAACGTTCCAGCTTATCAATTTGCCCCCATGTAGATTTTAAAGGACAGCTTAAAGAAAGGGCTTGACAATGCACTTGGCTAAAAGTACTTATTTGAGCTAGGAGGGATCTAAAAATCAAAGGCACTGGAGGCGTGCATGCGAGTGTCAGAACTCAAGAGATGCACTTCAAATACATACACCTTGCTGTCTGTTGTAGTGTGGCAATCTTGCTACAGCAACTATAACTCCAGCAGACTTTGGCAATAGTCCTCTGCCTCACAATTCAACAAAGCGTTTCACAACTAGGGTTTGCTTTAAAATATGCAACATGTTTTCAAGTATGCAAAAATGAGGGAGCTATCCTTCTCCTGCACCGGTTCTCCAACAGAGCCAATCTGACTGACTCTGGTCTCACCTCACGGTCCTGTGGAGGAAGCTGCCCCAAAGGGACAACACAACCATCGCAAAGCTGTTTACCTTGTGCATCGGCCCAGCTGTGCAGACAGTTTGTCTCCTCATCAAAGGCCAACAGGAAGGCAGGAACTTGGTCGATCCAAAATGCAAGTTGCTTGGCGACATTGTGAGTCTGCATGCGAAGGCGCAGCCATGCAACAGGATTTGCTGTGCCTTCCCACATGGAGACAGGAATGCGAACACCAACCACGAGCTGCAGAGGCTTCTGTTGCTAAGACCTGATTTAGCCTAACTGGCCAAACAAATCAATTCACGCTGGGTGGCTGACTGGGGCATCGCCTGCTCATTCACTATGATCATGAGAATCTGATGCATTTGAGCCCAAAGTCACTTGTTGTTGACATCAAGGAAACCCTACAGCCCTTTAACTGTATAGCTGGCCAGTCACTCTACCATGAAGTAGAACTTCAAGAAAATTCAGCCGCTTGAGACCACAGGGGTAAGCTAAAATCAAGAGGCAGTCTCCAATGGTGGTATTGCACTAGTGGAAAGTACTTACATTTCCATAAATCAGGTCATCCACTTCTCACCAGTCCCATCTGACCTGCCTGATCAACCTCTCAAACCTTCCAATAAGCTGCTCCTGGGTGGTCTAGGTATGGGGTATGGCTTAGAAGGCTATAGTAGGTTGGTGAGGATCAACAAGAATCGGATGCACTGCCCTGCGTGAGCACATACAGGTTCTGCTAGTTGCAAGCCATGGCTGGATGCAACTTATGGCTTTTAATTTAGGACTTGGATGTAGGATCACTGATAAGATTAACCTGTCCTCTCTGTGAATCGGGGTCTTCTCCCATGGTTTTTGTACATCAGATTAGAAAGACTCCAGAGAGTAGAACTGGAACTACATAAGACAGTTCTGAAAACCTAATGCTAATCCAACCATTTAAGAAGTGATATACACACATGCGCGCACACAAAAAAGTGCATTTATACGCTGTCTTTTATCCGCTTGCAATGTGACTTATAAGGTTCTCCTTTTATCCTCAGAACAACCCTGTAAGAGTCTGTGACTCTTCAAAAGTCTCCCAATGAATTTCCAGGCTGAGTGGAGAACCTGGATCCCCGGCCCAACACCCTAACCAGCACATCACACTGGCGTGCGCTCTCGCTCGTGTGTGCGAGTGTTCTTCTGGGCTGTCAAGTAATCACCGACTCACAGCAGTGTTATGAATGAAAGCCTTCTTTGGCAGCCCTGCTCAGCTCTTGTAAAATCAAGGCTGTGGCTTCCTTGATAGATTCGGTCCATCTCATATTAGGTTTTGTTCTTCCTCTGCCTTTGGCTTTCCCTAGCATTATTGATTTCTCTTTCTATCTCATTTTAATTCAGTGGTCTGGATGACTCTTCAAAAATATTAAAATAAAAAACAAAAATCATGCTTCTAAATATGAAAATGAAGTCAAAATTAAAATGGGAGGAAAAGGCAGCTAGGAGCAAACTAAATCTAACAGATAAAGAACACGTAATCTTGGTACGTAATAACCAAGATCCTATTTGCGTATGTGAATGTGCTAAGAACTGCATCGCAGTTGTTATCAGTATAATTTAAAGACAGTCTCAAAACATGGAAAGGAATCTAGACCCCCACTGTCCTCCAAGATATCCCACATCACTGCACCATGTTGGACACTTTTGATTTCACACTGTTCCAAGTGCCTCTACTCAAGCTCAGCACCCTAAAATTACTGTCTCCCTCTGTGCCTTTTGAGACCACTCTTCTGCAAAAAATTGAATGTATTTAAAGTGACAAGAACCTTGTCTACTGCTTCTGTCAATGAGCAGTGACAACTGCCTTTCCAGAGAGGAAAGAATAATATCTTTTCACTTGCTCTTTCTCTCTTTCTTTATCTTAAACATACACATCTGCCTTTGCTCACATATTGCACAAAAATAATTTTACTGAACCAAATTCATCAATGACGTCAAGAACCAGAAAGAATGAAGAGACAATAAATTCTCCATTTGCTTGGGAGAATCCACCAGGCAGGTAAGGTTGTCCATGTTCTCATTTCAACAGGGCAAGTATAGCTACCATGTTCAAAGTATACCGATCATCAGAAGCTTATAAGTTCCACCCTAAATTATGGCCTTTCTGCACTGAAGACACGTGAAGGGCCCCCAACACTTGGTTACTGCCACTTCTTAGCACCAGCATCCAGAAGTGCTCAAGTGAAATTCGCCACACTGTGGGTGTATTTGTTACATGCCAGCAAGCCACCTCTAACTTATGGCGGAGGCTTCCTTTATGGAGCTAATGCATCCCATATTTGGGTGGGTATATTACACAGACAAGTTCCTTTATGTCTGCGTTAGTCATGCTTTGAATACAGTTAAAATACCCACGTTCTTGTTGACTTGGACAAATTAGGTACGAAGAACATGGTCTCTTTGCTTTTCAGTTGAGCAACTGTTAACATTGAGGCAAAGCATTCCTGGTAAAATTAACTATCAGACAGAAAATTCGTCTTACACACACCTAACTTAATGAGGGTGCTCCTTTCTGCTAATCATGTGCGGAATTCTCTCTTATAAAAGTTTAGTGGAAGCGATGTAACAAAGAGATGATTTCCTATCTAACCCCATCCGCCCATGTGCAAGGCCACTCAGCTTTTATTTACATGAGCCAAACATGTTAATGCTTGCTAAGAATGAATGAGGAACCAATGATACAACTTTCCCAGAGTTCAGCCGTTTAGTGTTACCCCACACCACTGAGTGAAAGACCCTCCTCAGTATCCTTCCTAAATGTCTTAAGAATGGCAATGGGAAAACCGAGCAACTGGGACTAATAAATGCAATCTTCAATAGCCAAGGAGGAGGTTAAGAACCAAAACAATTCCCTGGGGAGGCATATCTGTGTATGTGTGTTTTCACAGTTATTTAACAAAACCAAGGACTTAACACCAAAGATATAAACAGAGGAAGACAAAAACAGGGCTCACCTCTTGCACAAACGAAACAAAAGCCTACATTTACAGCTGATGAAGAGTGATTGCTCCTTTTGGAATGGTTACTACAGATGAGAATGTGGGATGACACAAACAAACTTCCCGCAGCAATACAGCCATCTCCCGAGTGATAGGCAATGGGGCATCTCAAACATCTCACCATGCGACCTGTTTAATACAAAACGCACCACATGACAGTCCATTCACAACATGCTTACAGACTTCAAAGCCTGCAGTACAGTTCGATTTTCGCTTGATTATCTCCAGAGCATGTTTGATATATTCAAGCAGTAGATTAGTTTTAAAAAACACACAACATTTTTGTACCCCTAATGGTGCAACTTCCACTCCATCCTGGGGAGAATGCACTTTGGAAAACCTTAGCAGCCCCTGTCCTGTCTATGCATATGCTGGAATTAGTTCATAGCAGTGTGGAAAAGATCAGTAACAGGATATCAGCCCCGGATGTTGGCTTCTTAGGAGCTTCACTTCTAGTCTTTGTGACTGTGCAGGTGTGCTAGGCAAGGCAAACATAATTGCAGAGAAGGGTAATTCCAGTGGTTGTGGGATGGGTCTAATTCAGCGCCCTTCATCTCCTTGCCTTGCCTTTCTTCCCATGTCTAACACAACCACAATTATTCAAAACCATTTTTGAATTACATCTTAATTCAGTCAACAAAATGTTCTATTGTGCTATTGGCCTCATTTGTAGAATTTAGATTGACTGGGTGCATATTCTGTGTGCCTATTCTGTGCTTTAAAATTCTATACATTTAAAGCACAGAATATACACAGTTCTGGCCAGTGGCCTATTGCATGAGTGGAGCGATGCATCATACTAATGAAGAACTGCTCTCTTCTGGGCTGTGGGATATTGAAGCACGAGGTAGATTTCCCCAAACTGGATTGCCGGTTTGGGTTGACTGGGTCACAATATGCTCATCACTGATTGATAGAGCTGGAAAACAAGGAATACCTCCACAAAAATTTTACAGATTTCCTCTTTTACCTGCACAACACAAGAGAAACTCCCTGCTCTTCTTCAGTCTGCATGTTGCCTTCACTACAAGGAAATCGCGTGCCATCAGCTGAATCATCAGCTTCTTCTCTGCCCTGACTAATCTTGACAGGGATCAAAGACTTTGTCTGCTCCCTCTCAGCTTAAGAAAGCTTTATTAGACCAAAGTCAGAGAGCTCCAGTTCGTGAAGCCCTTACCATCCTAGAGGAATCTAGCCACATCTTCATATTCTAGCCAAACGAGGCATCATTCAGGCATTTCTTAGGAATTCTTAGCAAATGTTTCTTAAACAGTCCTTTCTGCACCTCAGTGTAGGACAGCAGGCCTATCTATAGTGAACACCCCACAATTTTACATGTATCAATTGGTTTTACACAGAAGGCACCAATAACCAAGCAAAATAGAACAACAGCTGGGATGGGCAGAAAGTAAATTTCCAGATGCACTGGACCTCCACCATGCCAACACACTGGCCATGCTGGCAGGGGCTTCTGGGAATTAAAGTCCCAAGCAACCAAAAAGCTACTTTCTCCCTGCCCCTGTGCTACCTGCATCTTCCTTCACTTTAATATGGTTACAGCAACTACATTTAACAAACCGAAGGCACTGCAAGTGCTGACAAGGTAACTGAAAATAAAATGACACATGCTGCTTTACTTGTTGGCTGCATGAAATTCTTTTTCAGTGCAATAAAAGGCAACCAGTCTCTCAGGGTAGATTCACGTGTAAATTATTGTCTCCTCTGAGAAGCAAATTAGTAATGGCAGCTGGATTTCTATACATATATGCCTAACTGTAAATCTTGCATATATGCTGAAAATCTGAGACTCCTTCAGCATATGTCCAATGTCTGATTCATAAGCAGGCAAAAGACCACGATTTTTCTCCTGTGCAGAAAAACTGCAGCGGCATAGCAGCCCTTGGTCTCAATTGCTGTGGTCCAGCTTAATTCCAAGTGAACTCACCTGTGCGTATATTATGTAGCGGTCAGCATTCTCCCTGCCCCGCCCCACCCCACCATCTACCTGACAGGTTGTGTCCCACAGCACTGCACAAGAAGCAGAGCCAAGGAGTTCTGCTTGGTGTAAATTCACATATAAATTCACATCCTGGCAACGGATTCCCCCACAGCAACGCAGCTGCAAAAGCTGACAGCCTCTCTTCAAGATTATCAGCACTACACTATGCCTGCACGGGAGGAGAATTAACGGTCCATTCTCCAAGGTATTTCAGTCACAATATGGATGCCTCACACCTGGACGCCTGTCTCAGCATTTCCTAACTGTCCCCTGCCCCTGTCATTTCCCTGGCTGCAAGGGACAAAGGGTTTTGCCCTGGCAAGTTGGTGCCACCCTGCTCCTAGCAAGTCCAGGATCAGATTCTGCAGGACATGTGGGACCCGGAGAAGGTTTCGGCAGGTTCAAGGCAACCTCTTCTCTGAAGAGCAGCAGCTGTCTTACCTTTGCTTGCTTTATGAATATCCTTGTCCATAGAGCAGGCGGTACAGCAGTGCTGTGGGCACCGGAATCCGCGGGACTCAAATACAGCTGTAGCAAACTTGCGGACGCAGGACTCGTGATAAAATTTGCCACATGCACTGACAGAGCAGCGTTTCACATCTTTGCCAGGTAGCTTGCACGAAAAGCATGGATGTTGTCCTTAAGAACAGAAAAACAAAGAGGATCAGGCTGAACCTAAAACACGGTGTCCAGACCAAAGCAATAGTGATAGATAGTAGTGGTCTGAGGTCACAGGAGACCTGCTCAGAAAATATGCACAGGAAGAGAAACCAATTGTGTATTCCTGTCAGCTTTCTGAGGCTGAGGAGCTGGCAACCCATCAATGCCGCTTTGTTTAGTTCTCAGTGCAAAGAGAAGGATCGTGGATGGTGGTCAGACGGGAACTGGCCAGCCAAAATGATACTAGGAAAGAATTTACTCATTTTTCAGCCTCTGTTAAAAACCCATCTCTTTAACCCAGCCTTTCCTGAACAAGTTGATCTTAGTATACGCCGTGCTTTTAAGCTTTGCTTGCAACGTTTAATTAATGTGTTCTTATGTTAGCAATTATGTATTTTAACTTGGGCATGTCTTTCGATATGGAAAGTGGCATTTGTTGTAATCAAGTAAGAGAGAAAGCACATAAAAGAAGACAGGAAATTTGCAACACTTGGGCCAAACTGCCCAAGATATTGGCTCTCCAACCAGCAGAATTCCCAAGGCAGAACAGCATCTGCTCATTTACCATTTTTGCACTCCAGGCAGATGAACTTCCCGTCAGGCTGTGAGCTCAATCCCAGGCATTCTGTATGGAAGACCCTGTAGCACTCGCCTTCGCAGGACACTAGCGACTCACCAGAGCTTTCACAAATCTTAAAAGAAAGGAATGGATATCAGAGAACACTTCACGCTTGCACCACTGTCTAATGCATAGCCGTTCTCAGTATCTCAAGACACACAAGTACCACTGGCTGGAAAACATCAAGAAATCACAATCCAAGATGGGGCCATGCAGAGGAAGAGACAAAGCTGTGCAAATCACGAAAGGCTTGATTGCCACTGGCTGGGGCCAGCAGGGAGAGAGAGCAGGGTCAGCCCCCATCCCAGATATACAGGTTTCTGCTGCATACAGAGGAGCCTTCCCTGCATAAATAAGGAGCCAATAATGATGGGTGTGAAGAGGAAACAGTTCAACTGCCGTACAATAATTTCTGTCAAAACCCTGCGGACACCAGGAAAGCTGTATTCCTATCATTGCATGAATGCGATCCAAGTCACTTAATGTGGGCCCGTTTGCCTTTCACAGTTCTCTCCTTGCAGTATTCATGGTGCAGTGGTGCTTGGCTCACAAACCTCTCAATTCATGGGTTGCGAAATTGGGTTGCGAACAGAAATTTCAGAGAAAAGTTGCCTCAGTTCGGGCACTCCGCATTGGGTGACGACCATGATTGCGCACACCTTCCTCCCCACACGAGCGTGCCCACGATCATGCCTTTCTCCCCCCCACCCCCAGAGCACGATCGCTATCGCACAATTATGGTTTGGACTCTCCCTCCAAACAACAACCTCCCCCCACCCCACAAGTTAGTGTTCTCTACTGTACTGTACTTTGTTACTTCGTTGTTCTTTGTTACTTTGTTTCAAATTTTTGCGGGGGGGGGGAATTACAGAATGGATTAACCTTATTTACATTGACCCTTATGGGGAAATTTGACTTGGGTCACGACCAATTTGGGCCACGACCGGAGTCCTGGAACGGATTAAGTTCATGAGCCAGGGTACCACTGTATTTGCAAATAGAATTGTTAAAAGAGTGTTTTCTCCATCCTTTTCACATAAGTTTATGGGTAAAATAGGAATTCTAATTGGCTTCAGTTGTTGAGAGTACAAAGCCAGTGGCTGGTAATATATCCAAACTGATTTAGTGCAAAATGCATAACTATGGCACAAACCTAATTAACATGGTTTATTTACCAATATTCATGAACTTCATATTTATATTAAAAGACACTCCTAATTAATCTACAGCATAAAAGAACAAAACTTAGGGGAATCAATAGCACGAAAGAGGAAGATTCCCACTCTGGGAACAAACAGGCCTCTGGTACACAGCCAAAACTTAGATGGGTTGGCACCTGATAGGGAGTTCTAGAGAGTGGACGTTAAGATGCCAAAAGCCCTATTCCAAGCCAACATGTGCCTTACCTGCAAAAGGCACCATGAGAAGGGGATCCCCTGAGGAGCACAGCAGAGGCACAAGCTGGCAGGGATCAGGCAATCCCTTAACCTTCCTGCTTCTGAGCTCCTTCCAGCTTTATAAGCAAGTCCCAAAACGTGAAACCTGACCCGGCAGAACACGGCCAGCCAGTGCATCTCCATCAGCACGGACGCAGTTCGTTAGCAAGTAGCTACTCCCGCTGCCAACCTGGCAATGCATTCTGCACCAACTCCAGTTCCTGCGCCGAGTCCCAGGGCAGCCCCACTCACAGCACGCTGCAATATTCCAAGTCTGAGGTTGCCAGTGCATTGACCACAGTGGGTCAAAGTACCCCTGCCCTGGAATGGCTGTAACTGCCTTAAGGGATGAACCTGGTAAAAGTCGCTTCTGCCTCCAGTGAAGGAACACCGCCAGACTCTGTGCCTGTAACCCTCCACCCACAGAACCTCCAACTTGCCAGGGTTCAGACTCAATTTCTGGATCCTCGCTCAGTCCACTGTTGTATCCAGGTGCCTATTCAAGGTTTGCAAGGCCCGAGAGAGACATAAAGCTGCCTGTTGTAAGCAGACCTTGCACAAAATCATCCTGTTTTCATATAGAAGTTAAATAGCGCTGGGGACAACAAAGTGCCTGGTGACACCCGATAGCCTCAATACCAGGAGATTAACAAATGCTCACCCCAAACCAACCCGACAGATAAGCCCAGAAGTTCAGAGTCAGCATCTACTGCAGCCTGTCCAAAATAATTACGGAGGCAAGACACAGCATGTTTCTGTCAACAAGGCCTTGACTTCTGCTACAACCGCCTGCTCTTCTAGAGTGCCTCCTTCCCGTGCTCCTCACTCCCCATTTCTCCTCTCAATGCAAACTGCCTCCATTTCTCCTTCATTGCTTTGTGTTTTCTCCCTAATACTAGGTAATGTGTTAAATGCTACCCATTCCAGGGGTATTCACAGCCCTCCCATTTCCTCCTCGCCGTCATTTGGAGGCTCCTCTGATTCCAATTTTGAATCTCTCTGCAATTTACTGTTCCAATCCCTTTATCCATGATTTGGCAGCTGCAATCCAAGACCCCCTTGCCTGAGAGTAGCCTCAATCAAACTCTGTGGGGCCTACATATAAACTGGCAGAAACAGGAATGTGTTCTATGACTAGGATAAACAGTAATATTAATACATCCAGTCCCCAAATTCCCTTGAAACTAAGGTCTTTAAAGAGATGGGGTGTCTCCAGGGTTGGGATTTGCTATGTGAGGTGAATATTACTCACAGTGTTCACATTATACTTTATTTCCTCATTGCTTCCTCTTAGAATGAGCCAGTTCACCTCAAACCAACAGCTAGAGGTAATTCAGCACTAGCTAAATGAGGGTGACCTTCAGCGCACAACATGGCAGGCTCATCGGTGGTTGATCAACCACAGGAAATTAAGGCACACTCCGAGTATGCAATCCCCACTCTGGAGTATGCAAACTCAGCTACCAAGGATTATGTGAAGATTCAACATCCCTCACATAGCCCTTAGTTTGTTGTAGCATTGTTAATTTTGAAGCAATTTTATCAGAATAGCCATGACATAGCATATAGAGAGAGAACTGTGCATTTTAATATTCTGGACTAAATTCTATGGTGTATGAGGACCCCACCCTTTATTCAAAAATCACAGCTGTACTCAACATGATGAATTCCCAATAATCTCAGCTTTCTGGATCCCTTGAAACTCAGAGACTGACCTTTGCTTTATTTTAAAGAGTTGGTAGGTAGTTACAAGCTACCGGGATGAAATGCAAAATGCTCAGCACAATAGAAATGTAGTCACATTTGAATAATAGTAATAAGGAAAACATCTAAAATCAATATAAAGCAACCCTCCCTTGAATCGCCAGACCATCAAGCACATGGGAATTAATTAATTCCAGTTACAGTTTGGCCAGTACTACAAGAAAAGTAGCCACTTCCTATGTGCAATTTGCTTGCTATTGTTTGCAAACAAAATACTTTATTTATTTAGTGCATTTCTAATCTGTCCAGTAGTGAATGTTCTCTGGGCAGATCACAACCAGTCAAAAATGAAAATGCATTTTAAGATACAGTTAAAATATAAAATATACATGTTTTAAAGAATAAATTCAATATAACAATTATGTTATACTGAAACAATAAACAGCACAGGAGGACAACAGCTTAGGAAAGGCTTTTCCGGAACAAGCAACAAAGCAATCTCTCAATTTTGCCAAAGACATACAGTCAAAGAAGACTGTTTGGAAGTATGTTACAGTATATGCAGTTTAAAGCAGCAGAAAGTTTCAACAAAGAATAAAAAGCTATGCCTTAATGACTGAATGTGTCAGCTAATTAACCTGAAGCCCTGCTGGGATTTTCAAACAACCAGGCACCATAGTGCTAACCTAGCCAGGGCAAGCAGGTTACATCTGAAAACTGTGCTGAGCAATCCTGCACAGGTTTTCTCAGAAGTCAGTCTCATTTTCTCAAATAAAGCTTGTTCTTAGAGGGGACTGCAACCAAGTCACACTTGGCACTCACCTGACAAACAGTGTCTCTCTTGCTTGTCCCAGAACCTCTTCGAGACAGGCTGGAGTCCACGGACTGTACATCTGACGCATCAGCATCTGCTGCTGCTGAGGGGCTGTCAGACTGCTTGCCAAAGCTACCCTGAAAGAGGAAATCCACAACCGCATTCATCCAGGCAACTCTTGAGATGGAGTATTACTGCTATTATTATTAATTTTGTTTCATTACTCATTTATTCTAAGTGCGTACCACAGATTGAAAGAGAAAATCTTAATCATATAATGTACATTGACTCTTCCACTGAATCTTCTGGCTCTCACTTTGAGCCAACCCAGAAATGATTGTTCTGAAACTTCCAGATAGATATTGATGTCCATATATAAAGACCTGATCTGGTGGTTGGAGTGGTGGACTGGGGACCTGGGAGGTTCAGGTTCTACTCCCTGCTCAGCCACGAAGCTCACTGGGTGACTTTGGGCCAGTCACAGACTCTCAGCCTAACTTCCCTCACAGGGTAATTGTTGTGAGGATAAAAAGGAGTTGTGTACATTGCCTTGGCTTCCTTGCAAGAGAAACAAAGGCAGGATATAAAAAGCAATGTTGCGATAATCATAATGATAATATAAAAATTTGTGTAATGGGCAAAAGAAAAATATCCCATCGCTCGCACTAAGAAAAAGGGACATGCACCTAAGTGACTCACATTCTCTGATGTGCTGAATTCTGTGATGTGCAGCTGGTGCCAAGCTGCCTCTTACTTTACATCACTTATCCTGCTAGTTGGAAGGGGGATCAGGAACTCCACTGAGCATTCATGCTCCATTCTTTAACCCAGGAATTCTTATTCAGGAACCCTTCTGGATTTTTTCAGCAAATCTTGTCCACACTTCAAGAACATTTCTACAGCCACAACTGCTAGAGGCCTACTATTTTAAAGGGTTAGCTGAACTCTGAGGAAGTTGACTTGTACAGCCAGAAAGTATTTTACACCTTTGAAAAGCCCTTAATGTTCACTTCCCTTTCCCTTCAATGTATGCTGTGCCTTCACTGTTCTGACAGTCATACCAAGTAACAATTTTGTCATGTTGACGAGCATCACTTAATTAGCCCATTTCAAGCTGCAGCCTGGACATGGTACCTGTGAACCTTGATGCCAGTCAAGCCCCATGATCTTCCTGATTTTAGCACTTTCTAATTCCTTTTTTAAAGAGAGCTTGGTATGCTGCAAAGTGAAACTATGGCCTCTGGCACAATCTGTATTTCCAGGAATTTGTCTCGCTCCCACGTGAGCCCCAGGGGTATTCTTATTTTTGAAAAACAGTGAGTGGCTACAGCCAGCACTTTGTTGTGAAGCTTTCTTGGGGGAGGAAAGGGTAAGCTGGGAGTGACATGTGCCCTGGAAAGGGTGGCGATGAGTATTCTAGATGGTTAGAGGGGATGGGGGCAAATATGCAGTTTAGCATTCTGGGCTCAGTCCCTAAATCTGCTTTGTACTCAACTTTTTGGCCAAATTGCTTGTTTCTGAACCGTACCAGTTTGCCTTCTGAGAAGCAGCTGCCCATTTTGATGGCCATTTTGTGAAAGGACAGACCTTCACCCCCAAACCAAACATTTCTTGGGTAACACCGACAGCATTGCCAACATCCTAATGCACCCACTGACCTCAAACAGGTTGGGAACCCTGCATAGGAAGGAGCAAGACGCATTTACCTGTAGATCATTCAATCCTCTTGAGTCAGAGTCAGATGTATCTCTGTATGCAGAACTGGTCAGCTCAACGTCTGTTGAAGCACGACTTCTTTTCTTTAGAGGCTTACAAGAATCTGAAATCTCACTGGCACCTTAACACAACATACTGGAATTAATCTTAAAGATCTCTCAAACCTATTAACCATTAAAGAAGAAATTAAATCAGAGGGGGACATGGGGAGGAATGCAGAGAAGGAATCAGCATGACTCCACACTTGCTTTACAATTTTTTAAAAATCGCAATATTTCCTATTCTTTATAGGAATATTCTGATCTACTGTTGTGAAGGGTATTCTTTTCCAGTTAGAAAAATACCAGTTATTGACTGATACACAGCATTTCATTTTATTCATTTATACCCTGTTTTACAAAATAAACCCTTTCCAAGGCTGATTATAAGCATAGCAAATTTTAAAAGGATATAACAAAGTACATCTGTGTAAAATGTTCTATAACAGAATCCATGTTGTGTGGGTTTTATACAAAAGGGGATTAGCATCCAACACACCTTATTAAACCTACTTGCATTTTAACATCCTTCTGTACATAGACCTGAACATGTCATCACAGGACTTTGGAGGGCATGCGTGGTTTCACTGATGAGACGGTTTCACAGTCTCTTCCCTGCCTTTCCCACCACAACCAGTTTACATCTGAGCCCAGGAGGCCAGAACCCAAACAGTACTTTCAACATGACTCCCAAGCACAAGCATCCTTTCCACGGAAAAGGTCACAAATTGCTTAGGAAACCTTCCTATTTTCAAAAGCAGTCTGACACATGGCATCGAAGACTAATGTTCAAGAAACACAAACCCACTGTTTCCCATGGCATACGAAACGAGTTTATTTTGATCCCTATCAACAGCCAACTCATCCCATAGGAGACACCACGGCCCACTGTATTAATTACTATACTAGGAGTCCAAAATTTTTCTTAGCAAGCCTTTCTAATGAACTTTAAAAGCATCCTGTTGGCCACATGCCCAGAGATCCTGTTCTCTGATTGGCAGGAAGCAGATAAGCCAACAGGCAAGCAAACTCATTTGGGTCTTTGTTACATGCAGGGGACTCAAAATGTAAGGGCCAATCTGTGAAGGACTGCCCTACTTTCCAGTAATTGCTGCACTTCTCTCTAAAGCAGCCATGGAGGAAAGGTGAATTATGAGGACAGCGACAACTCTACACTGTATTGGTGTGTGTACACTGCAAAGTCTATCTGACCAGTGGTTAGCTACAGGGCTAGAGAATCGACAAGAACATGAAGCTATTTTGTACTTACATAACACGAATGATACAGATGAAGAAAAATGAATAGGCTGTACACCAAGAAACTCGCAACTACACTCACCTTTCTGTAATCCAGTCTTCACTGCTGCCTGTGGAACTGTTTCTACCTGTTTGGACAGGAAACGAGTAGTTAATAGAGAAATTTCCTTGTCCCTAGTACAAAAGAGGAAATGAAATTTCAATGTGAGCAATTAGCATACAGGAAACTTGTCTTGTCAGTCCAGCCATCCTCCACCCCCACCCCCACCCCAGAAAGGTACTTCGGGGATTCACCTCTTATGGATCTAATTGAGGCTGCCTTCTCTGAATGAGGGGACAAGGCAGGTCCGTGTTACTGCAAGTCATTCGTTTTGTGTACCAAGTGACGCAATAACGCTATCTCTGGTCCAAGAAACAGCCCTGAGCTACAGAAAAACCTCACAATAGCTAAGAAAAGGAGAGAAGCAGAGCATTCAAGTTCTGTGTGACACTTGACTTGCTGCCCCATTTTAAAAAGGCACCTCCACCCAGTAAGTGGTTGAACCGCAGCTGTTCCTCTGCACGGAGGGCTGCAAAGGTATGAGGAAGAGAAAACCCGTTGCAGGCCTCTGTGCAGCTGGAAACAATGCCAACATAGCGTTTAGGTAGACAAGTTGGTGACCTTGCGAAAGTACGTCGTGGCCCTTGCGATCAGTGTTTTGGATCCTACATTGGACGGCGACTTTCTGCCAGCGTACACCCAAAGTTGTGAATTTGGTAGTTGCAAGCAGCTTCTTTGCTAAGATCTTGCTTTTAGGCTAAAAACCATAATTTGAAAAATCAAATTCTCCACAGTGTGGTTACATATGCATGTAAGAAACACGTCTCAAGTATTTATTAAGGATTATTCTATAAATTTTTTAAAAATATTTTATTTCATTGTACAATGGATAAAAACATACAATAGAAGGATTTGTATAGGATACAATTGATAATACAAAATATAAAATCTAGACAATCACGTGTATTTTGCTACCACTCACTGCAACAGAATTAACATTGTGTCTCTCATTTGTAATTAAAGTTCCAGTTATAAATTTTAAAACCGAAAGGATGCAGAATAAAATTTGGAAATTCACTGCAACAAAGCTTGACTCTGGGAAACAAGAATGGTTGTAGAATCCTAAAATATCAGTACGCCTTTCTGAACATATAACATATCCGAGCTCAGGCAATACAGTGCATCTCCGACCTTTAACCTTTCCTACCATATGCTTTTCCTAAAAAAACACCAGTATAATATACTATGTTGTCTTAATTAGCTACATAGTATAAAGCGAGCAAGGCTACCTGGGGAATGATGACATGAGAATCTTGTACCGTGGTTAATTAAAAATATATAAATTACTACAAGTTTATCTTGAAAAAGGGAGATTTCAACAGTTGATTCCAAGAGGTTTATATATGCATGTGCTGTGTGTGTGTGTGTGTTCGTGCGTGCATGTGTATAAACAGATATATCTATATATCTGTGCTGTTTGCAAGTATTCAATACTTAATCTGAGAAAAAGTGTTGTGCTGAAGTCATATTCTTTTAACTCCATCATTTTGGAGTTCCCACCAGAAAAGGACTGTACAAGGGAGCAAAGCAAAACTAGCAGTGATTTTAACGCCTTTAAACAGAAGATGTGCTTTAAGCCTCTGATCTAACCAAAAAAGTCTTGTGCAACATACTTCAGGTTTAAAAGAATTGTCATCTGAATTTTCAGAAGCCTAACTTTCCTAATACGACTTGGCTCTTGAAAGAACTGTGTGAGGGAACGTTTCTTACATAGGGTCTATTTTTTAGGTGAATTCCCTTTAAATTTAAAATTAGAGCATACTGAAAGGAAAAAAATATGGTGTTGATAACCATCTTGAAACCTGCATAGTCCACAGAGCACGTGGGTGGCATGCTTTCGGAACTCGCCTATAATTCTTCACTTTGGAAATGACTTTTTTTTTAAAAAAAAAAAAAAAAAAAAAAAGAGCTTTATTTACCTTTCTGAGGTGCATAATTGGAAAAAAATGCCCTGTACACATTGATTCTACTTGAAAGACAAAAATTAACCCACAATGATGCTCTTTCCTGCTTACTGTCAACATAAAAGGCTATTACTTTTAAAGAAATATCATGCTTAGTCCATTTTCAAGAGTAACCAAACAAATCCATCTAACTTTGTAAAAAAAGAACAAACAAACAAACTAAAACCTCAATACAAACCAGCAGCTAAACCAAGGATAAGACGACAAGGAAGCTGATAGCAATTCCAGAGAAAACACTGAAACATAAAATCACTCTGCTTGTAACAGAAACAGAAAAATAAAGGTATCAGCTTTGTGAGGCGTTTTTGTGTCACCATGTTCCCATTTATCCAAAGCATGACTGATGCTGTAAAGGGATGCCAGTTAACAGCAGTGTTTACTGAGGGGGCATATTCTCAGGAGGGAGAGTCCAAAAGCAAACCCAAAGGGGAAAATTGGGGTGGAGGTGAGGGGAGAAATTAAAAAGTCATCAATATAAAAGCCACAACAAATATGAATACAGTATATTTTAACTCTCTACATGGAGGAAGCCAACCTGCTCCTTTTTGATCTTCTTCTTTGGCACAACTTCAGTGGATTTCTCAGACTCTGAGCGAGTTCGTATTGATCTTCTCTGATGCTTCTTTTCTACAGAACCTGAGGGAAGAGAAGGGTTTCCATTACAGGAGTCTCTCTCTGTCTCTCTTTCCTCAATGAGGGATGACGTTCAATAGCAAAGTCCTGATTTCTCTACATTCTTCTTTGAGTGCATAGACTTTAATCTGCCAGCTGGCGTTCTGGCTGCAGGCAATACATCAGTGCTTCAGGGAGAGTCCTGAGTTCGGGAAAAGACCAGCTTTAATATGAAGATAAAGGGGAAGTCTAGAATTCAAACTATTAGGAAGAGTTGACTTTTCATGTTCAGAACCTTTTAAATCAACTGTGACTTTTAAATCTCAATGGTTACCAACTACACCAAGGACACAAATATGTTGTGAATGTTAATTTTCAAGAATTTGCCTTTTTAGGACAGAGGACGACTACCTGCAGTGGAAAGTCTCATTTTACATGGTCTTCAGACTAATTTCTGAACTGCAATTGATCTAGACTCTGCGCAGGAATTACCTATCCCTTACCCGGCAACCTGCTGCATGGAAAGGAAGATGGAAAGAGAGAAAGGAGATTGGCAGCGTGTGAAAGAAAAGGGCTGCTCCACTCACTTCCGGGCCTGATTCCACTCACCGCAAGCAAGTGGGATATTATTAGACTGAACTCCCCAAAAGGGGTCAACAATCCTGCATCCTCCACTTATAAGGCTCTGGATTAGGCAAGAGCAAATGTAGAATAGCTCTACAGCAACCTCCCAGCCATGCCACAAGGCTGAGATTGACAGATTCCAGAGAAGCTTCCTGTCGGCACTTCATTTCTAGAATGAGATATCCTAGACGTCAAAACCCAAAAATTCTCTGCCCCATTCTTCCCAAGATCCATAAGAATGGCATGGTGAACAAACTCAGAGATAACACCTTACTTCACATGTAATGTGAATGCACCTTTACAATGAAAATTAAGAATTCAGGGCGGAGCCCTGTTATTAGGCATTTCTGAAAGACGCACAAATGGAAAAGGGGCATTTTCTTACCTGTGAATTCTTCTATTTGTTCATCAGTCAGTGGTCCCTGCCATTTGCTGTGGAGGCAGGAGAAAGACTGGCTCTAGGGAGGAAGTGGGAGGTGCCTCTTAGACCAGCCCCCAGTGAGTCTTTCTTCTAAAAGAACCTGCTTTCTACTGCGCAGCGATGAGATCACCCAATGTCTGGACCACTGAATGGTGACAAGTAGGGAAAACGAGGCATCTTGGGAAGGAATGGCAGGTGAAGATCATTGCAATATAAACTTGTGGCAGGACTGTGACCCCAAAAGAATATATTAAGGGACTCCTTTCCCCACAGTGCTGCTGGGTCACCCAGGAAACACACAAGTTATTGGCAGCATCTTCCCTTGCACAAGCCAAACTAAAATAACCACAAACTGTGTGAGAAGACAGCTGCACACCGCCCACTCATCTTAGAGTAGATGCTGGGTCACATGGGCGGCAACTGATAAGACTTATTCAGCCTTCAAGCCTTGCTCATCTAAAATACCAGATAAAAATCAGATGTGGCTTGTCAACAAATGTTTAGAATGTGACATTAAACACACGAGCACATTTGAGCCTGCGTAGGAGGGGGTTTGAGGGGGTTCTTTCATTAGTTAAAGGTCAGCTTGTGTGTGATTCTTCCATCAGCCCATCTGTTACTCTGTTTCCTCCTTCGTCTGGATGTGCAGAGGCATGTGGGAGCACGGATAGCTATCTCCCCCAGGGAGGAAGCACAGGCCAGCAGCAGGGAGCTGCAAGCGCATGTGTATAACCCCATGGGTTCAAATCCCCAGCACTTCCAGTTAAATCACCCTGAAGGGGAGGGGATACAGGTCATCCTCTGTTCAACTCAGAGCTTTAGTATACTGGGGAAACCTGGCCAGTGATCTGACTGCATGTAAGGCAGCTCCTTGTAACTGCCCCCAGAGCCTTCCAAACTGCATTTGCCTCTACCAAACCTGAGGCATTTCTTAAAACTTAAAACATCTGCTACAGTTTCTTCCCCAGATTAAGATGGGGACATGCAACCAAAGTCCTCATTCTTTTTTGCCATAGGATATTAGCTTTTCCATCTGCAGAAGTACTACTTAAAAAACAAGTAAAACAAACAAAACCCTGGGGACTACTATTTAAACCAGGATATACTAACCTCTAATGCTTTTTATGGTGATTCCACAGAAATTCCTCCAAAAGATGAAGTATTGAAACGACAATGGTTTGTTAGTTTTTAAAAGGTGCCAAAAATTATCTTGTTGTTTCTGCTAATGTATGCTGGGCTGTGAAATGCCAAGTTTGTATAATGTAACGATCCATTTTGGGTAACTATTCTGAATGTGTTGTCATGTCATGCAAACCCGGACCATTTCCCACAGGACTGTTTTTCTCAAACAAGCCACTCTGATAAACAATGGGTTCTTTTCTGGGTTGCTGAGACAATGCTGGGTTGTCAACCCAACCCAGGTGTCTGAGCCCATTACAGCCTGAGGAAGTGTGAGTGAGCTGCCTGGCATGAGCAATGAAAACCTTTTGCTGAGCTTGCCTGGACCACTGCCAGTGTCATCTGCTCCAGCAAATGCCCAAGCAGGGCTTGGCAGCAATTGTATCATGACAGCCCATTGTGGCTAACTAGCCATGATAAGCAGTTGTGTCATGCAAACTTGGATCATTTCCTACAGGGTGGCTTGTTTTTCCCCACCTTGACAACACGCCTTGAACTCACGGAGTGTCAAGCTGCTCAGCAAAAGCAGCCAAAACAAAACAAAACAAAACAAAACAAAACAAAACAAAACTCCATTGCTGCTCTTGCTCACCCATGTGGCACTTCTGCATGACTGCCACTGGTGTGCTCCTTTGATATAGTTTTTGATGGACTCTTCATGCACAGGGCCTCAAAAGCATAGCATCTTATAATGATTCACAGGAGTGCAGTTTGTTATGGTATAAACTTTTGCGGGCTAGAATACATTTCATCAGCGGTAGCTTGCACAAAATTTTATGCCATAATGAATCAGTTCCTGTTTAAGTTGTCCTAAGACTTTTCTCTCCAAGAGCTTTATATGGCAATTCCGCTGGAACCCTTGCAATCTTACAGGGTTGCTACAAGGATAAAACTGGGATGGCCTCACGTATGCCGCTCTAGGATCTTGGAGGAAGTACGAATATAAATTACGCAAATCAAAGAACTGTAAAAACTTGCGTTTAGTCAGTTTAAGAACTGGTGGCCTGAATGGCAATTATACTGCTTAAACAGCTGCAGCAGAGGGGTCTGAAAACTCACTAATGCGCAATAATTTTTCCACCATGGTGCTGCATCTGACATAGTCAAGCTACAGTTCTGACTACTGAACTCTCAAGACTTCCCCAAGGGGTGCCTCAAAGCAGAGCTGATATATTTTGACTTAACCCAGGAGTCGCAAACTTTACCTACTTGCCAACCCAGAAGATGATTCAGGAGAGGGTGCACTCTGGGAGGATGCTCTCTCGTTTCGTTGGTTTGAGACGGACGTGAGTTTGTCATGCCCCTTGATGATTATTTCTGGTTTGTTTCCTAAACCCTGTTACAAATAACAAAGATCAAGTCAGTGATTGCTGGCAAGGGTTTCTGGTTCATTTACTTTATTAAAAAGCATGTAAATGTTCAATTTGTGTGTGCGCGCAAGTGTGTGTGTGTGTGTGTGAAGGGGGGGGGCAACCTGCTCTGCAAACATGCAGAGCATTCCTATTCTTTCTGCACTCAGTTTCCACCATTCATTTCAGGATGTTACAGAACGTCAACTGCAAATGCATTTTAATCACTTTACCCCAAACACCTTCCCTTCTAAGATTACTCATGCCCACAGTCTCACAAAGCAGGAGGTGAGGTGCCTGGCTGCCTCACGTCAGACCACATAATTACATGCTCCTCCAAATCTCTCTCTCTCACTCGCTCACACACACACACCCTCCCTGATTACAGAAAACTACAGATTCTAGCTCAGTCCATTGCTTCTCAAAATTAACATGATTGCAGAAGAAGAGAGTAGGAGGCATGTCAAGGCTTGGAAGTGGTACAGTGAAGACACACCTTTACTTCTGCATATATTGTTTGTGAGAACTAGGTAAGTTAAAAATTCCTTTGAGGTTTAGAAATATGTTTATCTGGTGCAATACAGTGTGGGTTTTTTCACCAGGTGTCTTTGGGAAACTCATATGCAAAAAATGATGAAGGGCCTCCTCTGTTTGTCCTTTGGACAAAGGCAGGGTACCAATGAAGAGTACATATCAAAGTAACGACTATCACTATTCCAAAATGTGACTGTTTTTCTCACAAAGCAGCATTTAACACAAGAAACGCTCAGTTAGAAAGCCCCATGCAGTATTTATTCATCATGTGTTCACCACTGATACTGAATTGCAAATAGCAGCTTTTAAAAGCAAAGAGGTCATCCACAATTTTGCCAAAATGGCCTTGCTCAGTTCTTACAATCCTGCTCTTTCAAAGCCAGGGTTTGAAAGCTCAGGAATGTGCCACAGCTTTATGCACTCCCTACTTCCCTCTGTTCCTCTCAAGTACATGCTTATCCTCCAGTTTCTGGTCTTCTCCAATCAAAGTTTACTGTGGTGTCCAAATTAACTCCTTGCTTCCAAACCATGATTAAAAAAAAGGTCTGAAGTGGGCTTAAAAAGTGCTAATTACTGTTTGCCTTTTCAGCTACCATGGCAAGCTATTATTAGGAAAAAATGAAATTATATATGGATTTCGAAGAGGGAGAGGAACTAGAGATCAAATTGCCAACATACGCTGGATCATGGAGAAAGCTAGGGAGTTCCAGAAAAATATCTACTTCTGCTTCATTGATTATGCTAAAGCCTTTGATTGTGTGGATCACAACAAATTGTGGCAAGTTCTTAAAGAGATGGGAGTACCAGACCATCTTATTTGTCCCTTGAGAAACCTATATGCGGGTCAAGAAGCAACAGTGAGAACTGGGCATGGAACCACTGATTGATTCAAAATTGAGAAAGGAGCTCGGCAAGGCTGTATAGTGTCGCCCTGCCTATTTAACTTATATGCAGAGCACATCATGAGAAAGGCAGGGCTAGATGAATCACCAGTTGAAATTAAGATTACTGGGAGAAATATCAACAACCTCAGATATGCAGATGATACCACTCTCATGGCAGAAAGTGAAGAGGAACTAAAGAGCCTCTTGATGCAGGTGAAGGAGGAGAGCGCAAAAGTTGGCTTGAAACTCAACATTAAGAAAACTAAGATCATGGCATCTGGTCCTCTCACTTCCTAGCAAAGAGATGGGGAAGAAATGAAGGTAATGACAGATTTTATTTTCCTGGGCTCCAAGATCACCGCAGACAGGGACTGCAGCCAAGAAATTAAAAGACGCTTGCTCCTGGGGAGGAAAGCTATGGCAAATCTAGAGAGCATACTAAAAAGCAGAGACATCACCCTGCCAACAAAAGTGTGCATAGTCAAGGTTATGGTTTTCCCAGTTGCAATGTATGGCTGTGAAAGCTGGACCATAAGGAAGGCAGAGCGCAAAAGGACTGAGGCCTTTGAATTGTGGTGCTGGAGGAGACTCCTGTGAGTCCCTTGGACTGCAAGGCAATCAAACCAGTCAGTCCTAGAGGAGATAAACCCTGACTGCTCTTTAGAAGGTCAGATACTGAAGATGAAACTCAAATACTTTGGCCACCTAATGAGAAGGAAGGACTCCCTGGAGAAGAGTCTAATGCTGGGAACAATAGATGGCAAAAGAAGAAGGGGACGGCAGAGGATGAGGTGGATAGATGGAATCACTGAAGCAGTTGGTGTGAGCTTAAGTGGACTCTGGGAGATGATGGAGGACAGGAGGGCCTGGAGGAATGTTGTCCATGGGGTCATGATGGGTCGAATACGACTTCGCGACTAACAACAAATATGAAAACCCAAAGCATGGTCCTTAGCTTCCAAAACCATGGTTTGAATGATTTGAACTCGAGACTTCTGAAATGGGTTACTGTTCACCAAAGCCCGATTGAAGTCCAAAGAAAGCGAAGTCATTGAAGTCCAAAGAAAGCGAAGTCAATTACTTCAATATTTCCTTTCTCTTGCTAGTTATCCAGCATCCACAAATACACCCCCACTGGCTAACCCACTGGTGAGCCAATCTTTTCTTTTGGGAAGGCAAGTTCAGATTACCTGGAATAAGATTCTGTCTTTCCCCAAATTGGAGAGATGAAAACAGTATTTTTAACTGGCTGTTGAGCTCAATTAAAGTTTGTGAACCTCTTCTGGTTACTTACAAAGCAAAGCTACAAGTGTTTGCTTTGGGTTAAAATAATATTTTAACAACAAATAAGGAGTAAGAAAAACTAATTGAATTGACTTGGCTTTGCAAATTACTGTCTTGAAACTAGGAAGGCCACAGTTAGATTCCCTTTTTGCCAGAGACAGTAAGTATGGATTGCTTTTTGCTGCTGCCAGTGTTTTAGCAGCTTATTGACTGTTTGATCAATTAGATTTTTAAGCTGGCCACTCTCTGTTGCACCTAAAACATACATTTGCCCCCGAGAAGAGAACTATGCATTCTTATAAAGAGCTACAGCTCCATCTGGGAGGTTACCTGTTCGATGCTCTAGATGTCATCCATTAGCTCAGACATTGCACATAATTTCACATTATATGTCAGTCCAGAAAGCCAGTTTGGTGAGTATGGGATAGGTGTACATAACCCCTGACATTTTATAGATGAAAAAAAAATTCACCCCCAATTTTAGACAGCTTGCAAAAGTGTTGTTCCAAAACATAGGTGAACATAAAAATTAAGACTGCAATCCTACACACATCCCTGGGAGCTAATCTCATTGAACTCATGAGCAGACACACACAGTACATCTTGCAATTCATTCTCTGCTTATGCTCTTTACGGGAAAAATAAATGCCTTTACCTTGGTAGAGTAAACAAACTGATCAATGAATTTTCCATTCCCGGCGGCATTCTGGAGAGCAAAAACTTGTTCAATTTTAACAACTGGAGACATATTACATTTCTGAAGGTCCAAAGTCCCCTGGTGCATGGTTATCGATGCGGGTAAAGATTTTCTGGCTGCGGCAGTTTTCCATGCTATTTTCACAGGAGGTGGCTCTTCTTCCACACTGGACTGCCTCCTCTGACTATGTCTCCGCACCTCAGTATTAGATGGAGAGGATGTTGCCAAAACCTCACTGGTCTGTTCTGACTGAGGGCTCGGTGATGGTTTAGATCTACGGTTCTTTTTAGCCTCTGTCTTAGGCGTGGCAGTCCTCTTGGCTTTTGACAAAGCCTCTTCCGGCTCTTTATCAACATAGATGAAGGTGTACTGTTCTATCCTCTCTTCCCGGGTCATTTTCAATGCTTTCTCAGCATGGGCAATGCCAATGTCCCACTGTGCACGCTCTCTCTGTGGCCTTGGTTTGCGAATCTTAGGAATAAAGCAGATGGGTTTATTGCATTTATTAATTTCCACTGACAAAGCACGCAAATTTGATTAACTGTCTGGACGCAGCACCCATTTTCAAGTATGGCTCTATTTTATTGCTACAGTGGAAAAGCAGGAAACATCAGACGGAAAGGTCAGTAGTGTTCAAAACGTATCATGAACCCAGTGATCCGGTTCACACATAATGGCAGCAAATAATGAGTTAAGTATTTCCTGATTTAAAGCAGCACATGCTGTGTATGTTCCACTGCTAGTCTGAATATTTAACTCCTAATTGGGCTGACTGGGGGTTGCTATGCAATGTCCAAACCCATACACTATGAAACAGTTTGCACAACACACTGGGCTCATTGTGAGTTGCTTAACCCAGAATAAACCATGCCATTTTGAACATGCAACTACAGCCAGCAAAGATTCTTTGAGAGTTAAACAGCCTTTGCTTAATCCTACAAGAAGCAAAGGGTCCTGCAAGCATTGTTGAACCCTCAAAGAACGCCTGGTGACAGGGTTCCTATGACAAAGCAACCCCCAAGTTGCTACTGCATTTTCAAAATGGCTTCCAGCAAGTACCATAGTCTAGTACAGGTTAAACCATCCCTAGCAAGTCCAGCATGTCATACAAACTAGGTCAGTAGGTGATTCGTGGGTTAAACCATTAAAATAGATAACCTACAATTAGTCGTTAAGGGACTCTATCAGTTAGGTAAACTAACCCATAATTTGCAGCTATACTTAAAAAGCCATGTAATGCTCTGACAGCACATCTCAAGTGTTCAGACCCCCAAACCCCCATTGTGCGCTCCCACACACCCAAGCCTAGCTGGCAGTTACAAATACCTGAACAATCACGATGCTTGCTTGAATAACAATTGGACTTAGCAAGCCATGAAAACAGCAATCAGCAGTATTGCTGCTAAGCAGAAAGCTGGAACTTTTGAAAGATGTAGCTTGGAGAGGCTGCACATAGTCAAATACTTGCACATAGCCAAATACCTGTATTGTACCTACAGAGGGTCCAGGAACCTTCCAACCTTCCAATTCACTTAATGTCCTGCCCCCAAGACACCAAGACTATGGCTGCTTCAAAGGATGCAGGCAGATGCATACAGAGTGAAGGTATCTGACATCATCCTTTTTAAATGGCTATATACAAAACATGGACATGCAGAACTTCAGGAAGCGGAAAGAGATATTGCTGATTACTTGCACCTGCCAGTACTGCAGGCAAATAAGACAGAGGTCAGCAATGATGGAACACCTGCCATTTAAAAAGGCATTTATAACAGGCTGGAGGAGTGTGCCTTAGGTCATGGGTAGGCAGCAAGCAGATTTGGATGTACTAGCTGGTAACTGAGTAGCTGTGCTCACCCAGAAGGCTACGCCACTGTTAGTTAAGTTAAATATGGTGTGTTGCTTTTGCCTTAAACTGTTTGGCACATGAACCAATCCTGGCAAAGAGCTACAGTGCACTGGGTGTCACACGAACAAACCATGCTGAAGCTCAACACGATTTTTTGGTTCCCTTCTCCCCACTCGGTCCTCCTGCAAGTGTCCCAAGGGACACCTCGGGAAGAAGTCTTTCTTCCTACTCCTGCTGTGGTGAGCTGCTAGTTCCTTTTAAACATTTGAAAGGAGATCACAAAAGCCAGCTGTCAAAGCAGGCTTTGTAAGACCCCATCTGACAGCTAAGCGCAGTCCCTTCAAAGTCCTCCAGCAGCACATTAGAGGGGTCACCCATGGCTACCCATCATTGTATGTAACTTTTTTGTGCACATACCTGAACCCCCAAATCAATTTTAATGCATTTTTAAAAACTGTGCACGAAAAATTTAACACAGTAGCATCACTATAATCTTTTGGAGTGGTATTACTGCAGAGATTCGAAGCCTCAGCTTGGGAATATGGTCGCTAAGGGGCAGCAGGCACATTTTGTTGTTGCTATGTGCCGGCAAGCTGTCTCCAGTGGCAATTGTAAGAGTGAAAGCCTTTCAAAAGGTCTTTTCCAGGTGCATATCCTAGATCAGGGGCCCTCAAACTTCTTTAATGGGGGGCCAGTTGAAAGGTGCTGGCGATGGGCGCGGGTCCGAGGTGCCTGCTTGCTCGCAAGGAGATCCTTTTCTCCTAGCGAGTCCAAAACATCTCCTTGCTCGCAAGCCACCACTGGGTGTCCGCACAGCGAGGAAGAGGCTTGCTCGCAAGGAGATTCTTTTCTCTGAGGGAGTCCTCCAAGCGAGTCCAAAACGATCTCCTTGCTCGCAAGCTGCCACTGGGTGCGTGCGCAGCGTGGAGGAGGCTTTCTTGCAAGGAGATCCTTTTCTCCGAGGGAGTCCTCCAAGCAAGTCCAAAACGATCTCCTTGCTCGCAAGCTGCCACTGGGTGCGCGCACAGCGAGGAAGAGGCTTGCTCGCAAGGAGATCCTTTTCTCCGAGGGAGTCCAAAACTATCTCCGCATGGGCAAGCCCCTGCCTCGCCATGCACACGGGCGCACCCTGCGAAGTCAAACCTCTATGGCAGGCTGGATCCAGCCCAGGGGCCGTAGTTTGAAGACCCATGTCCTAGATGTTATTTATTTCCCCCCTTTTTCCTACAAGGATTTTCCTTACAATAACCTGAGAAGCTAGTTATGCCTGGTGTCAGTAAATGGGGCAACAGTCACTTGGCATGCTTTATGCAGTGACTGGGGAACAGTGCTCAGATTTCCGGAGTCTCAGTCCAATACTCTACCCAGGACACCACATCGTTCGGCCTTCAGCTCCAAATCCAGTCTTCCCTCCCACCCTGGTTTTTCTTGATAACTTGCAAAAAGCTCCCAGGGCCTTGAGATAAAGTGTAAAAAGTGCATCATGGTGGAAACGAAAGTGTGTGCGCATATGTGGGGTGGGGGAGGAGATGAGGATCTCAGTAAGTGAGGGCACTCACAGGGAATCCCCCATCCCAAAAGCAAAGGAGGATCTTGTCATGAAGGGGGTAAGCCCCCTTTTCACCAGCTAAGATCACTCATGCCTTCAGTTACATCTACAGCTTGCCTTTTGACAACTGTCAGTGGTAACCACTGTCTAGAGCGTAGGTGGAGGAGATCACAGGATGAATCTGACCGAACGCACCTGAGAGCCCATTATCGGGCCTATGCTGTGGCAGTGAAGGCGGCGAAGAAGAAATTCTTCTCCGCTTCCATTGCCTCCTCACAATGCTGTCCGGCTGAGCTCTTTCGTGTGGTGCAGGGGCTGGTAAATCCAGGCCCAAAGAAAGATCTGGTGCCACCCTTGAAGGCCCGCTGTGACGACTTTGCCAAGCATTTTAGGGAGAAAATCGCTCAGATTCGTCACGAGCTGGACTCTACTATTGAATCAGATTCTATTGGGGAGGTGCCAATGATGCCATCGAGTCCTCAATTGTTGGATGAATTTCAGTTGCTGTGGCCTGATGATGTGGACAAGGTGCTTGGACAAGTAAGTCCTACCACCTGCTTACTAGACCCTTGCCCAGAGACAGCCGGGTACCTGCCCCTTTAAAGGAGGCGGTAGTCCGGCCAGTCCTAAAGAAGGCATCCCTGGATCCAGGGGTGGTCGCCAATTATAGGCCGGTGGCCAACATCCTGTTTCTGGGCAAGGTGCTAGAGCAGGGGCCGGCGGGACAAATCCAGGCACTCTTGGATGAAACTGATTATCTGGACACATTTCAGTCCGGCTTCAGACCCAGGTACGGTACTGAATCTGCCTTGGTCGCCCTGTACGATGACCTGTGCAGGGAGAGAGACAGGGGGAGTGTGTCCCTGTTGGTTCTCCTGGACCTCTCAGCGGCTTTCGATACCATCGACCATGGTATCCTTCTGGATAGGCTAGCGGGATTGGGAGTTGGGGGCACCGCTTTGCGGTGGTTCCGCTCCTCTCTCAATGGCCGATTCCAGAAGGTGGTGCTAGGGGACTATGGCTCTGTGCCATGGCAGTTATGCCATGGAGTTCCGCAGGGGTCCATTTTGTCCCCCTTGCTATTTAACATCTACATGAAACTGCTGGGAGAGGTCATCAGGAGGTGTGGGCTGAGGA